GCATGGACCCCTTCAGCGCTGGGCCATGTGCCTGCGAGCAGCGCCTCGCCGGGCTCCCCTTATCGGGTCCTCCCCACCGGTGGCGTCCTCCTACCGCTGTGCTCCCATTCGCCCACCAGGCCCCAAGACCCCAAATCCCGCTTTCCACCCCCTCCGCCAGGCCCGAGACAGCTCACCCATCCTGCCGGCGCCACGGGCCTGAGCAAAAGAGGGAAGCCCTACAGGAAGGAGCCACAAGCCACCGCGAGCAAGCCCCGCCCAGCCAAGGACCCCTGCGGCTGTCTGCGCCGCGCCTGATCCGCGGCTGGCGCCTCTCGTTTGAATACGACAAGTTTCCACTGCTTTTCAGAACCTACAAGCCAGAATCTGCGTTTTATTTAATTTGTATGAAATTCAGAGATATCTAATTTGCATTGTTCTTTCTTTTTACGTGAATGCCGGAGACAGAAGGAATGTGAACTACCAATCCCAGAACTCTTTGCACGAGACCCGCCACGGCGCAGGCGCTCTCGGCAAACCCCGGGGCGGGGCTTAGTGGAGCCGGTGTTAGGAAGGCGCGGCGCTCGTCTGGGCTTACGTGTGGCGGTGTCGGCTCCTGCTGGTGGTTTGGGAGGTTAGAGTTCCGAGTCGTTACTCCTGCTCACAAACAGCGGAGTAAATTGAAAAAATTGAAGTGAGGCAATGTGATGTAGTAATTAAAGACCCAGGCTTTGGAGGTAGACCAGGCCTTAAACCCCACAGCTGCCATTTAGTGGTTGTGCGACCTTAGGGCGAGTCATTTAATTAACCCTTTAAACCTCAGTTTCTCCTGTAGAATGAAGCAAATATGAGAGTTTTCTAGGATGTTGGTTCATTCAACAACTATTTTAAAAAATACCTTCTCTATGCCAGGCACTGTTCTAGACACTGGGGATACAACAGTTAACAAGAGAGTCAAGTTTTCTGCTCTTAGAAAATTTATATTCTAGGTGTGAGGAGACAATTTATATATTTAAAAATAAAAAGGTAATTTTACATATTGGTAAGTGCTATAGAGAAAATACAGTTTGTATTGGTCGTAGCTTGGGGTTGGGGTGGCTAGCCTGGATAGGGTGGCTTAGGAGGGCATCTCTGGAGGTTACCTCAGAGATGAGATGCTAAAGAGAGGGAGCCAGTCAGACAAGGATGTGGGGTAGAGCCTTCCAGGAAAAGGGATGCTCAGTAAGTGGAATGGGCTGGTGCTTTTGAAGAACTGAAGGATCAGAGACCGGCAGCTCTGAGAGTGGGGAGTAGTGTGGCAGTAGATGAGGTCTGAGAGGTGCACGGGGACATGTGGCACCTGCAGACCATGGTGAGGACTTTGTTTACTCTTCAGGTGATTTAGTGCCGTTGGAAAGATTTGAGCAGAAGAGTAACAAGATAGGATTTATACCTTTACAGGATAGCTCTGGCTGTTGTGAGGAGAAAAAACTCTTAAGAGATGAGTCTGTGTGGCTAGTTGAAAGGGTGTTGTAATAGTCCAGTTGAGAGATGATGATGGCTTGGACTGTTAGTGGAGGTGGTAAAAAATGGTTGGATTAGGTATACTGTTTGACGCCAGAGCCATCAGGATTTGCTAAGGACTGTAGGATGTGCCAGAGGAGTTAAAATTACCGTTTTTGACTTGAGCAATTGGATGACTGTGGTGTTATTTACTGAGTAGGAAATACTGGGAGAGAAGCAGATTTTGAAGGAGAAAGTGAGAGTTCTGTTATGGCTGTGTTACGTTTGCGATGCCTGTTAGACATCCAGGTAGGGATGTGAAGTGGGTAGTTGCATATATGAGTATGGAGTTCAGAGGAGTCATCAGTGACTAGATAGCATTGAAAGCCATGACTGAGAGCGCATAGAGGATGACTGTGGGTAAACAGAGAAAGGTTAGATGGCCTGAGCCCTGGCACACCAAAGTTTAGTGATATGGAAGAGAGGACAGGAGAAACAAAATAGACTGAGAAGGAGTGGTCAATGCTATACTCTAACCAAGGTCAAGTGCAGAAGGTGGAAGTGAGCAAGTGTGAAAGGAGAGTCAGATGAGGACTTTTGGGTTTGGCAATGTGGAGGTTATTGGTGACTTTCTCAAGTGGGGATCCCATGGAGTGGTGAAGATGAAAGCTTGATTGGATTGGAGTCAAGAGAATATGGGAGAGGAGGAAGTGTAGACAGCAGCTATAGACAGTTTTGCAAGGAATTTTTCTATAATGTACAGAAAAAAGGGGCTATATTTGGGGAGGATGTGGAATCAGGATGGGTTTGTTTAAGATGGCAGATTTTATGACATTTTTGAGTGCTGATGGGATTGTTCCACTGGAGAAGAAAAAATGGATAATTCATTAGGGAAAGGAGATAATTGCACTAGCAAGTCCTTGAGTAGACTCAAGGGGTGCCCAAGTGGAGGAATTGACCTTAGGAATAGTAACAATTTACCTATAGTAATAGAGAAGGCACAGTATAGGGGTACAACTGCAAGTGAATTGGAAGATTTGTTGATGGGAAGATGTGGAACTTCTCTTTTGACTGCTACTTCCTCAATGAAATAAGAAGCAAGGTCATCAGTGAGGACAAAGAGTAGGGAAAAGAGGTTTGAGGAGAGGGAAGGGTGTAAAGTCACCATCTAGGATAACAATACTAGCATTCACTAGTACTTCCTAGGGGCCACCGACTATTTTAGGTGGCTTACATTTATTAACTCATTTAATTCTGGTAACCCTGAAAGGTAAACACTTTTATTACCTCCGTTTTGCTGAGGGATAGTCTTAGTCCTTTCAGACTGCTATAACAAAATACCATAGTCTGGGTGGCTTATAAACAACAGAAATTTATTTCTCACATTTCTAGAGACTGGGAAGTCCAAGTCCAAGGTGCTGGCAGGTTCAGTGTCTGTTGAGAGCCCAATTCCTGATTCTTAGGCAGCTTTCTTTTTGCTATAGTTTCAAATGGCAGGAGGGCCAAGGCAGCTCTGGGGTCTCATATTTATTTTTTCTTTTGTTTTTTCTTGTCTGTTTGTTTTTTCCATTTTTATTGAGGTATAATTGACATATTGGGGTCTCTTTATAAGGGCACTGATCCCATTAATGAGGGCTCTACGCGCTTGATGTAATCATCTCCCAAAGGCCCTGCCTACTAATGGCCTGGTACTATCACACTGGGAATTAGGTTTCAGCGTAGGAGTTTGCCTCCTAATCTAGAAGTGGGAAGATAGATTGACAAGAGGATGTAGGATTGTTGAACAGTTCTGAGGGTCCATTTGGAACTGTAGTTATATGGTTGTAAAGTTACATCAGTCAGCATGGTTTTGTGTATTCTTCAGATTCATTCAGTGTAGTGACTGAGCAGGTGGTGAGTTGGGCTTTAACAGAGCCAGGGGTGGGATCTAGTCAGGTGAATGTGATGGAGGACGGGCAAGGGAGTTGAGAGTAATTGCAAGGAAAGGATTACAACAAACTGTGAGATTGAAGCTGGAGGAGTAAAGAGTGAGGAATAGCCAGAACCCTTCTGAAGGCCTGCCCTACCAGATAGGAGAAATTTCTATGAAGCTAAGTAAGATAGTGCAGTATTAGTGCATAAGGAAATAAATTGACCAATGAATGCATTAGAAAGCCCAGCAAGGGACTCATATGAGTATTAGTAAATGAGAGAATTCGATGTCAGTTCCGTGTATAAAGGAAGGGCTGTGAAACAGATGGAGCAGCACAAAAGTGGTTACCCAAATCAAATTGGATCACTGTCTCAGGCTGAAAACAAAAGTCAGCTTCAGACAGATTGAGGGCCTAAATGTCAACAACAAAATTTTAAAATTCTTAATAGAAAAGAAAGGTGAATGTCTTCTTGAATTTGAGAAAGGAAAATATTTCTAAACAAGATAAGAAAAGAATGATAAATGTGACCATATTAAGAACCTATGTTCAGCAAAAACACCTGAAAGAAAGCAAAAAGACAAGTTACAAACGGAGTTGCTATTCACAAGAAGTGTTTATATAAAATTGGGATGATTTGTTTTCTAAACTTTCAAGTTTAGTAAAACAGCCTGTAAAACCATCTTGGCCTGGTGTTTTTTTCGTGTGTGAAGGTTATTAACCACACACTAAATCTCTTTAATAGTTACAGAACCATTCAAAGATCTGTGATTTCTTCTTGAGTCAGATCTGGAAAGTCATTTTTCTAAGAGTTTGGCGGTTTTATCTAAGTTTTCAAGATTGTTTCACAAAGCTGTTATGGCAGTCTGTTATGCATGAATGTATGTACGTTTATATATATTTGTATGTTTGTTGTTGGAAGGTTTTTAACTATGAATTCAGTTTCTTTAGTAAATGTGGTCCTGTATAGGTTATTTATTTCTCCTTGAGGGAGGTTTGGTAATGTGTGCCTTTCAAGGAATTTGTCTGTTTTGTATAAGTTGTCAAATTTATAGACATAAAGATGTTTGTAATATTCCTTTATAATATTCTTAATATCTGTAGATTTATAGCAATGTCTCCTCTTCCACCCCTGATATTGGTAAGTTGTGTCTTCTCTCTCTTTTTTTCTCTTGGTCAACTAGAAGTTTGTTAATTTTACCGTTCTGTTCAAAACACCACCTTTTGGTTTCACTGATTTTCTCTATTATTTTTCTGTTTTCAATTTCACTGATTTCTGGTTGTATCTTTATTATTTACTTTTTTCTTCTTGTTTTTAAATTTGATTTAAATGTGTTCTTCTTTTTCTATTTTCTTCAAGTGGAAGCTTAGGTCATTGATTTTGTTCTTTTCTAGTATATTTAATGGTATAAATGTCCCCCTGAGCACTGCTTGAGCTGCGTGCCATGAGGTCTGCATGTTAAATTTTAGTTTTAATTCAATTCAAAACATTTACTAATTTCCTGTTTGTTTGCCTTTTTGACCCATGGATTATTTAGAATTGCATTAATTTCCAAATATTTGGGGATTTTCCAAATATCTATGTTATTCATTTCTAGTTTAATTCCATTGCATTCTAAGAACATGCTTTTTTAATTTCAATTTTTAAAAAATTTGTTGAGGTTTGCATTATGGCCAGAATATAGTCATTCTTTTTTAAAAAGAGAGTATATTCTTCTGATGTTGGGAAGAATGTTCTATAAATGTTAATTAGCCCAAGGTGGTTGATAGTGCTGTTCAGGTTTTCTGTGTCCTGTATTCAGGATGGTAGTGACATTAGGTGGTGATCATAGTTGGATGGTAGGTTATGGTTTACTTTAGGTAGTGGGTTTAATTAGTGTGTTATGAACCAAGGACTTTGATTACTATAACTAAGAAAACGGAGAAGAAAGTACTTAATTTTTGTTTTTAGAGCTTTGAGTTTTTCACTTCCTAATGAGGAACTAACTACTTAATTTGGAGCCTGAAAGAAGAAGGAATTTTCTTGACCTTGGGCCCTAAGTTTCCTAAAAGGGCCGGTAAACAAGAGTGAGCTTGAGGAGTTAGAGGAAAAGAAAAAAAGTTGCCATGGCTGAAGGGTAGTGAGCCAGAGGGAAAATAGAGGAAGGTGAAGTTAGAGAGGTGGGCAGGGCCTGCTCATGTCCAACCTGTAGGCCAGGATAAGGAGTTTGGATTTTATTCTGAGTGTCATAGGAAGCCATCAGAGAGCTTTGAGTAAGAGAGTGACAAGATCTAACCTACATTTTTAAAAAATCACTGTGCCTGCGATGGAAGGGCACTATAGATGGGCAAGAGAGGACTTGGGTTAGCCAAGGAGCGGTTGTTGCAATAATACAGATAAGGGATTGTAAGTAGTTACATTCGAGGTGGAGAGATGTCTTAAGATTCAGGGTATAATTTGGAGTTAGACTGTGAAAGAGAGAGCAAAATCATTGACATCGCCATCATCACCACCACCACTGTCTCTAACTGGTGTTGAGTCCTATTTAGGTGCCAGGAGTAGGACTTCACATGCATAATTTCTTTTAATGCCCCAACAACTCCTATGTGGTAGGTGCTATTATTAGCCTCATTTTGCAGAAAGGAAATTGAGACTTAAAGAAGTTAACTTGCTTAACCAGAACATGTTTGTTGGTTTTCAGATTAGTTATAAGGCAGAATTTTGATTTTTAATGAGTTTAGAAAAGCTTTTAATGAATGTTAAGTAAATAAGGTACTTATTGAATGAAAGTAATTTTCTAGACAGCAAAACACCAGGAAAACTAAGAGATGTCGTTGCTAAGATTAAGGTGTTCTTGCTGTAAGTTGTAACCTGATATCCATGGGTTACTAGAGATATATGAAAACATAGATACTTTGTCACAGAAGAATCCTATTTGGTCATTATTGAAATGTTGGGGGAGTGGAGGCAGGAAGGAGAACAGGTTTTCCTCTTTCTTAGTAATTCCTTCCAAGAAAAAGGAGTTAAATTAGTGTAACTCCTTGTTTCTCTGCCAATTTACTCTTTCCAGGCCAGGTGAGGAGGGGTGACATCTGTGGCAAATTTGGGAAAAATGGTCTAGGCATGTTCAGCTCTTCGTTCTTTCCTTTGTCAACTGAAATAAGCAGTCTAGTTAAAGGTTAAATGAAGGAATTTATTCGATAATCAAAGTGAGGAACTCAAGTCCCAGGAAACAGTCCAACAGAGTATTCTGAGGAACTGCTCTGAGGTCTACAGTTTTGTGGGGTTTTTCTACTTGAGGAAGATTAGCCCTGAGTTAACATCTGTGTCAATCCTCCTCTATTTTTTTTCGTGTGGGACACCTCCACAGCATGGCTGGTAAACGGAGTAGGTCTGTGCCCAGGATCCAAATTTGTGAACCTGGGATCCCGAAGTGGAGCACGCAGAACGTTAACCACTCAGCCACCAGGCCAGGCCCTGACGTCTACAGATTTGAGTGCAGTTTGTATACTTTTTAACGAAGCAGTGTTCGTGCAAGAATTGGCTTACACACCTAATAGCCATCTACTTCTAGGATAACAAGAACTTTTGATTATACATCAAACAAGGCTTGTAATGTTGGTGTTATTTGTGTATGGAGGGAGGCAAGGACCAGGGTCCTTACTTTTTCCTTCAAACTCTAAGAAATGTTGCTGGGAAGTGTGAGCGAGTTACCCTTTATCTTGTCTGGTTGTGGATCCATCCAGCTGGGGGCTTCAGTCATGAGGTGAGGGGTTGCAGAGTCATTCTAACACAAGCTTATGAGGCCTGCATGACTGCTTCACAGTACGGAATGGATTTTTATTGTACCAACTTTAAGCCTATACAGCTTGCTTGCTAGATTTGCCTGTTAGACCAGGGAGAGGGGTCTCGAAAGTTTGTTCACCCGTTTTTGGGACCCAGCCTGCCCACAGAGCCTGCATTTCCCCCTATTTCTCCTGGGACAGGACTCTCTTCCCTATTGAGAGCCCAGGGCTGCCATGATAGGCTGCCATGTCTGTTTTCTGGGGACAGGGGTTCAATTACAATACATTTTGCTCCTGCACTAAGCTTTGTCCTCCATCCTGGCCTTTCTCAGTAATAAAGGTGTTATTTGGGCCTACATTTGTCCACTCCGATGATGCAGAAAGGTGGTATTATTTGACTTCTCTCAGAGCCCCCCAACTAGGAAGAAAGATTGGTCTTCATAAATTAGATCAGTTATCAAAGAGATTTAGATCAAGGGTGGTGCTGATTCTTTGCACGGTATCGGGGAGAAGTTAGCTTTTGGGGAGGAACAGCCAACGGTTTCAACAATGTTGACAACTGATATTGGAGCATTTAGAAGGGTTAGAAATGATTCCTAGTGCTTTAGCTATAAAAATTGAGGCATTAGTTGCTATGGAAATGTGACAAGTTAAAATAACAGCTTTAAGTGAGAAAGAAGCAGCAGTAAGAGTCAGACTGGTGATTGCATGCTCTGTATAACTACTACTGATGAATGCTGAGTGCTTCATTTTACCTGATTAAATTATTTAACACAATTTTTCCTTTATCTAAAATGAATGAGATTGGTTATCCTCTCAGTATAGCTACCTTTTGGTGTAGTGATTATTTCTTCTCATATCTGTTCCAAGGTGGAACTAAAGAAATATGCGTGTATTGCCATATAATCTTACTAATATTCAGGACTGTTGTTTAAAATCTTTGTTATTGTAATTAAACCTCTGTGTAGGATCTAGGGGGAATTGACAATGCTGTTCTTTGATGCCCTTTGTGAAGTTCCCGGAAGGGAGTTGTCATTTTAATATGCATATTAAAAGTTATTCTCCAGGTGTTCTCTCACTTGGCTGAGAACCAAACAGAAAATAGGCTTCTCTTTCAGCAGGGACCTTTGAGTTATAAGAAATGAAAGATAATTTTTCTCACTAGGAAAAGAAAGATAATTTTCTTCACTCAATGGAAAAATAAGTTTTAGAATTTCATTCCCTGGAGAGGTTTGTGAATCTGGTGGATGGGCCAGACCTGTGCTGTCTGTGGGTTCAGTGGAGACCAGTTGATCTTTTGTGGTGGGCAGTGGCTGGGGGCCACTCTTTAAGCCTGTGCATTCCACAGTAAAATGAAGATTTACCAGGATGACTTATAGATTATTTAAATGTAATAACTTGTAAATTATTATAACATATAAATGTAAAAGCTCCTATAAAAGTAGATGTGCAAAATTGTGATTATTTTATATTACTAAGACTTTATTTCTTAAAGGACTTTAAATAAGGTAAAATGAATTTTTTTCCTTACATTGAAAGAAAAAAGAACAAGAGAGAAAAAGGAGTGAGAAAATGGAGGAGAAGAAGAAGAAAAGAAGAAGTCAAGGGTTCTTGGATAATATAGCTACACAAAGGACAGGAGTAATCTTTCCATTGATTTAAAACATTACTTTTTGATCCTGTTGGTTCCATTAGTCATTACTGATTATCAAGATTACTCAAATGAATGGATCTGTTACCAGTTCATAGGTATGGTGATTTTTCTTACTATGGAATAATGTGCTCATTGATGCAGGATCGGTGAGCCAAGGAGTCGAAAGAAAGATTTCTTGGACTCTCGAGATCTGGCAGTAGTGCTCTTTTATTTAGAGAATAGTGTGGAATAGCATGGGGACAGGGCCCATGGGCAGTCAGAGCTGCTGCTGCCCTGAGTTGAGGGTTAGGGCTAATTTTATAAGGCATAGGTATGTGAGTTATCTCTTTACAAGACAAAGGAAAGAATATGAAAAAGTTAAAATGGTATCAGTGCAGGTGGGGTCTGGTTATTGGGTGATCCCATGACTTATAGATAAGAATCAAATCGGATTAAGTAAAAGTCAGAAGCCACCACCCTAAATCAGTTACATGAGATTGCCAACTTAAGTTCTTGCCTTTGGCATTGATTAAGAGTTTTGAGAGATAAGGCCATCCCCCCTTCCTCCTGGTGCAGAGAGGGAGGCATGGAGATTTCCTTCACAAATGCAAATGTCTCTCCAAGGGCAAGCAAATTCCAGTCCTCGGAGCCTGCTTCTCATCTGCAGTTTTCCTCATCACTCATGTGCCAATGAATTTTTATGTTTACTTAGGTTTTAAGTTAAAATTTCCAAATTTATGTTAATTGTTTAGCAAACAGCATCTTGGATTTTTGCCAAGTAGTTGTATAAAATGCTTCCTTTGAAACTAAGTGTGCTGATTAATTTTTGTCCAAAGAATCCATTTTGCTCTTCTTATAAATGAGCGTGTAAAGTATAGGGCAACATCAAATAGCACATATTCTCGATATGAGTTTTATTTTAGTGAATTAAAACTCTGGGTCCTGTCTCTGTTGAGGTGGGGACCCTGCAGGTGCCCAGTGAGAGCATTTTTAAGAGTAGCGGAGGCCCTTTCCTCCCCAGGACCCAGGTCTGTTAGGTTCTCCCTGACCCTCAAACCTCTCTTGCTAGTCCAGGCCTCTATTGTTCCACTAAATTTGTTATTGAGCAGACCTTTCCAATAAAGCTTCTTTTGCACTACAAGTAACAGAAACCCATTTCAAACTGTGTTAAGAACAAAAGCCAAGTTATTGGAAGGACACCGGGGTAATTCACAAACCCCAGCAACAAGAGATGTACACTGACCTCATGAGGGAATGGAATCAAGACCTAGAAAGCTGCTTCAACTCTTCAAAAGTTATTTATGTCACATTTCTTGTCTTTTTATCTATTATATACCTGCCTCTCTCTCCCCTTCATCTAATCAGCCATTGCTTGGAGTGGAGGTGGGGCCAATGTCAGCGGAGGTCACTGGTTTGCTGGGTGAATCATCCCCAAGGTGTTTACTCCAGGAATTATGTGTTCACATTTCTACACATCACTGGACTGGGAACTTCTTCAGGGCAAAGACTGGGTCTTTCCTACTTTGTGTTCTCGGCATTTCACATATGACAATCAATGTTAGACTGATGGGCAAATTTATGAAAGAGCTGGCCTCTGTCTCAGTTTAGTTTGAAAACCAAAAACGTAAATATGTGCCACTAATCTGGTACATTATCCATGTTCCAAGAAGTCAAAAGGGAACCTAAAGTAAGAAACATTAACATTTAAATCAAAAGCACTTATAAGTATTTCATTTACTAACCTGATTCTAATCAACTCAGAAGTTGATTTGATGAAAATTGGTGGAAATTATGGCAGCAATTAGGCTCTGAACTTGATAGAGTCTGTATTAGTCTGGATTCTCCACAGAGAAAGAACCAATAGGAGATATATCTATATCTATACATATATACACATATGTACATATATATATACACACAATTGTACATATGTATTTATCTATCTATAGATATATACATATATACAATTTATTATAGGAATTGGCTCATGCATTTCTGGAGGCTGAGAAGTCCCAAGATCTGCATTTAGCAAGCTGGAGACCCAGGAAAGCTGATAGTATCATTCCAGACCTAGTCTGAATCCGAAGGCAGAAGAAGATTGATGTCCTGCTCCAAGACAGGTAGAGAAAGTGAAATCTCCTTTACTCTGCCTTTTTGTGCTCTTCAGACCTTCATTAGATTGGATGGGGCCCGCTCACGTTAGGGAGGGCCTTCTCCTTTGCTCAATCTACTCATTCAAATACTAATCTCATTAAAACACCTCAGAGACACACCCAGAATAATGTTTAACCAATTATCTGGGCACCTCATGGCCCAGTCAGCTTGACACATGTTAGACATCACAGAGTCATACCCCTCCACAAGGAGCAAGAAGTATATACTATAGTATTTTGCTAATGAACTGATAGAACTTGGGTTTTGTCCGTTTGCATTTTCAAGTTACCGAATTCAATGAATTACTTGAATTAGTTGATTTCCTAGTTAGAATTATCTAAATATTCAGGCCCTGGGAGTCACAACCATGTGGCATGAAGTGGGAACTAATTATGTGACATTTTTGGATAGGTTTATTCGTTATTCTGTACATTTTATTGAGCACCAACTTGGACCAGCAGCATCTTAGGCTCTAGATATATGTCAGTTAATTAGACATAGTCTCTGCCCTTATGGAGCAGGCCTTCTGGTGAGGAAATGCACCATGAATAAGTAACAAGAAAATAAATGTCTCATACACATTGTGATACATATTTTGATGTGAGTGAACAAAATGCAGGGAGAATTAGAGAGGTGTGAGGTGATCCCCACAGAGGGAACAATATGAGCAAAGTCACTGAGGTGCAAAAAAGCTTGGCACACGGAGGGTGTTGAGAAGCTGAGTGTGAGCCAGTGTGTTGGAGCCTGGTGGGGAGAAGGGCTGGCAGAAAGCGAGGTGAGAGAGACCAGCAGGGGCCAGGGCACGTGGGGCTTTGCAGGAGGTGGATGGATTTGGATTTTGAATCAGTGTGCAAAGACTGTTGTACTTGGCTTGAACATTCAACTAATGGGGTCTTCAGTCTGAGAGCATTTGGATGAATAGAGACTGCGGTCTGGCAAATGCTAGATGTTCCTTAAGGCACATGTTAGAATTAAATTAGATCCATTTGTTTCCCCGTGAGAACACAATTCCACATGGTCAGATATGATTATAGGAAGATAGATTTTTGATATTCAAATTTTCAGGTGACATTGTATTTAATAGTATACAGTAAATCGTAACGTGAAGCAAACCTTTCTTTCCTTTGAAAAGAAGGCAGCATGGATGTACAACTTCCTGTTCTCTAATGGAGACTATTAAGAGGATATGTCCCTCTGCATATTCTGTGTATCTTGTGAGTGAGTCACAAACTAGTTTTTGTTCTGGAATATCTTTAGGATATTTGTATAGTGAACAGTCTTTAAAGGTAGAAATAGTGTTTTCCTCTGTAGCAAAGGGCAGGGTGCCTATAGCCTTGGAAACTCAGGGTTTCTCTCCTGAAATGAAACCCACTGTGTGTACAAGCATCCATCTGGGCCCACCTGTCTTGCTTTATGGGCAAGGGGAACTGACGCAAAGATACTCATGCTCATGCTGCTTGCTGTGTGGTGAGTAATAAATAAAGTCCTTTGTCTCTGACCCAGGAGTCTTGTGTCTTTTGCTAGCATCCCTGAAACTGTGGCAGACTAACATGTTAGTTTACGAGTTGGGCAAAATCTCAGATGTTTCGCAGTTCTGGACAGAGACGCCCTCAGCCATCTGAGCAGGCAGGTACAGTGCCAGGCAGGTGATACCCAAGTGCTTTGCAGCCTGCAAGCTATCGTATTAGCATTTTTTGCCACTGCTTTTCTCCTCCAAAGTCACAAGATGAGCTATTCTCAGTCAATCACATCTTAAGTGTGACTTCTATTCTAAAATACATGTGTGAAACCTACTAGCTACTAATTATTCTGCCTTAAAAATTCTTAACCAAGTGGGAGAAAATTTCAACAGGAAGAATGCTATGTTAAAATTTTAGGATCATCAAGTCATAAAATATGTTGAAATGATACTTGATTTAAAATAAAAAGTTTTACATATGTGAGTGTGCCTGAAAATATAACCGAAGCATATGTCCATGAATGGTTGTCTGTGATAGGCACTAAGGGACTAACACTATGGTTTCTGAGTCTTCACAGATCCATTACTATCACAGTACAGAGTCATCCAGGGCTTGGGCTCTCGCCTCATCCTGACCAGGGATTTGAGGAGTGATGTGATCAGACACTGATGCTGCTGCCATGGGAGACTGTGACCTGTTGCTCTGGCAGCTGGAGATGTTCTGTGTTTGCTCCGTCCAATACAGTGGACATTAGCCGTATAAGCATTTGACATTTTGATTAGTCCAAATTGAGATGTGTGTAAGTGTAAATTATACACTGGATTCTAGACTTAGGGTAGAAAAGGAAGGTAAAATATCTCATTAATAATTTTAAAAGTAATTATGTTTGAAATAATATTTTAGATATATTAGGTTAAATAAAATATATTAAAACCAACTTCACCTGTTTATTTTTACTTCTTTCAACGTGGCTACTAGAAAATTTTAAGTTCCATCTGTAGCTCTCATATTTCTGTTAAAAGATGCTGTTCCAGCTCCTTGCTTACTCACAGGGCTGTCCTCGGCAAGCGGCATCGGCATCATCTGGAAGCTTGTTAGAAACAACGGAGCTCATGTCCCACCCTAGACCAACTGAATCAGAATCTGCATTTTAACAGAATCTCCTGTGATTTGTATGCATGTTAAAGTTTCAGCAGCAGAGAGACCCTAACACTAGGATAGCCAGATTTAGCAAATAAAAATACAAGATGTCCAGTTAAATTTAGTTTTCAGATAAACAACAAATGATTTTTTAATATAGTATGTCCCAAAGATTGCATGGGGCATACTTATTATTAAAATCATTTGTTCTCTGAAATTCAAATGTAACTGGGTGTCCTGTATTTTATTTGGCAGCCTTGCTTGAGACTCAACTCCTGCTGTCCAGACCTGAGTTGCTACTTGAAGTTCCACAGAATTGGAAGGACAGAAAGGTAAAATGAGAGGCAAAGGGTGGAAGTTGGGTGAAATGAAAGAACAGGGAGAGGAAAAGGAAATATGCCGGAAAGTAGGAATAAGACAGGGCATGGAAAGGCCACAGTGATGGCAGTGTCCTTTTCTATTTTATAATTTCTATTAGCAACTTTCCTCCTTATTTCTGCATCCCCCCTTCCCCTAGTCGTTGTGCTTCAGTCTCCTCCTGTCCTTTTCTACAGGGCTCCCCAGAGCCGTGTTAGAAGGAGGTGTGTGTACAAAGTGGACAGTGAGGACGGGGAGTGTCTCCTCTGGGCGAGGCCCCACCTTCCCATAATCCATCATCTGTCACTTACAAATAGCCCTTTTCAGCGACCAGTACTTCGCCATTAAAGAGATCAAGGTTCTTAAGTACTAAAAACGCTGACACTTTCATTTTGGAGGATTTTCTTTATTGTGGCATTTTAGTTGTATTTTTTTAATGTGAAACAACTCTTAGGGATTTTGTTGTTTGTTTTGTTTTTTTGCATGCCTTTTGCAGGGGTGGGAGGGGGAGGCTAGCAGAGAAGGAGAAACATTAGATATTCTTTATTTAGCTAGGCATTGAAGTAAGGAAAGGATTTCATCTATGATATTTACTAAAATTTTTTTATTGTGGTGAGAACACTTAACATGAGATCTACCCTCTGAACAAATTTTTAAGTGTACAATACATCCATGTTGTCACATATTGCAGAATTTTATTTTTTTAAAGGCTGAATAATATTCCATTGTATGTGTATGCCATGTATATCTTTGTCTATGCATCCGTCAGCAGACAGTTACATTGTTTCTACACCTTGGCTATTGTGATTAATGCTGCAGTGAACGCAGGAGTGCGAATACCTCTTTGAGATCCTAATTTCAATTCTTTTGGGTAAATACCTGTAAGTGCAGTTGCTGGATTGTGTGGTAGTTCTATTTTTCAATTTTTTGAGGAATCTCCGTACTAATTTCCATAGCAACTTCACCATTTTATATTCCCACCGACAGTGTACAAGTGTTCCAATTTCTCTACATCCTTGCCAACACTTGTCTTTTGGATAATAGCCATCCTGACAGGAATGAGGTGATATCTCTTTGTGGATTTGATTTGCACTTCCCCAACAATTAGTGACATTGAGCACCTTTTCATATACATGTTGGCCATTTGTATGGCTTCTTTGGAGAAATGTCTATCCAAGCCTTTAGCCCATTTTTAAATTGTATTTTGTTTGTTTTTTTGCTATTGAATTGTAGGAGTTCTTTATATATTTTGCAAATTAACCCTTTATTAGATATATGTTTTGTAAATATTTTCTCCCATTCTCTGGGTTGCTTTTCTTCTGTGTTGATTATTTCCTTTGCTGGGCAGAAATTTTTTAGTTTGATGTAGTCCCACTTGCCTATTTTTCCTTCTATTGCCTGTGCTTTGGTGTCATATTCATGAAATCATTGCCAAGACCAATGTCATGAAGCTTTCCCCCTCTGCTTTCTTCTAGGTTTTAAGTTTTAATCTATTTTGAGTTGATTTTTGTGTGTGGTGTGAAATAAGGGTTCAGTTTCATTCTTTTGCATGTGGATATCCAGTTTTCCCAGCACCATTTGTTGAAGAGACAATCCTTTCTCCATTATGTATTCTTGGCACCGTTGTTGCAGATCAGTTAACTGTACATACATGGCCTTATTTCTAGGTTCTCTATTCTGTTCTATTGGTCTGTGTGTCTGTCTTTATGCCAGTACTGTACTGTTTTAATTACTGTAGGTTTGTAATGTATTTTGAAATCAGTAAGTGTGATGCCTGCAGCTTTGTTCTTTCTCAAGATGGGTTTGGCTATTTAGGGCATCATTTAATGAGTTAAATACTTTTGTCCCCACTCTGCAGATGAGGAAACTAGGCTCAGGAGGAAAAATAACTTGCCTAATATCAGATAGTTGGAAGAGCTGGCACTGGGAATGCTCTTGAGTGCTGTCTGACTCGGAAGTCGGTGTTCTTTACCATTATGTTCCATGCCTCTCAGCAAATGGAGTCATGAATTCAACAGGAAACTCTGAACTAGGACACGTATGTAAAAGTAGCTAAGTTCCAGAGATTTTTACTCTTATTCACCTGAAAAATGCACGTAATAATGTATACTTCATAGATTTTGAGAATTTAATAGCTTCCTGAAAAGCAGTGTGAGATTTTTATTGTTATATGAGTATTAAAACAATACCAATTTTTCTCTAAAAATCTGCTCCCTAATAACCTTTCATTATAAATAATCAAACAACTTAAATAGACCCATGGTTTCACTCTATGCTCTAATTTGAGCAGTATCAGGCCCCTCCTTCTGCCCTCTCCCACACGTAATACATCCTGGGAAAGCTGTCCTCTGATTGGTTGACTATGTTGTCAGTCACATGGCGTGAAACTACTGCCTCTGCTCTGTTTGCATTTATGAATTAACAGATGTGCTTTGTTTGAAGAAACTGATTCATTTCTTGATGGGAAGAAAAATCTTGTTCAGTTTTTCACTTATTTTTTTATGTATGGGATTATCACTAACTTTGGACCAGATACTTGCCAGGAAGAATGTAAGGTGAGTAATTGCACATCTTTTAATACAGTACATCTGTGCACTTCAGTGCAAATGTGAAATTATGTGGTTCTGTAATTTCTTTATATTGCTGCATGCTACATTTGTTTATAATTAAAAATGGATATATGAGATTAGATCATTTTGTAGCTACTAAAATAATTGAACTAGAGTTTATAAATAAGAGATACAAATATAGTCCTTATTATAAGAGGGAAGAGTTATTTGTTCAAAATACTCAAGAAACATTTGTATTATGTATCAAAGTATGTATCTATGAGAAAATGACTCCTTAAATCAGTGTTCAGGTTTCTTTTACGCTTATAGGTAAATGTTAATTTCACAGTTTCTCCTGCTGTTATTATGTGAGAAAGAGAGAGAGGAAAAAATTTAAAACCTGTCCCCCAAAGAAAATATGTTAGATTATTTTAACTGGTAAAAGACAGTAATTGTGTGGAGCACAGACTATTTAAAAATAACAAGCAAAATTTTGATTTCTATTTCCTTTGTCCTTTTGGTTTCTTTCTATGCCATATGAGGGAAAATATAGAGATTTATCTATAAGGAAGAGTAATCAAATATGCGTAGCATTTAATTTATGTCATATCCCCCAGTTACGCATTATGTGCCATGTCAACGAATGCCTCAGCGGATTTAGTGTGAACGAAAGGACGGCAGCAAGCAGGATGATCTCTAAAAACTTGTGCTAAAGAATCCTTAAGACACCAACTGATAAAAACTATAAGTGTAGGCATTTTTAATTTGTTTTCCCTCATTGTTTCCAAATCACTTAATGCTTTCCTTAAGATTCACTTTCAAATAATAAGTGACCTATACTCCTTAGGTTGTTAAACCTTAGTAATATTTCCTTACCTGATTTATACAGAAATGACTGATTTGTGTATTACAGTGGTAAAGTGCACACCAAGAACTATAAAAATTCCAATTCTGTTTTTGAAGCAAGGTTGATGGGTTTACATAATCTTAGCTTCAGAAGGGACCTTAGAAATCACTTAAGTCAATGATCATGTGAATCTAATATGGCACATTAATTTGTTGTGAAGGAAACAACAATTTCTGTTTTGTAGATGTTGTTTCAAATACGGATCTGAAATTAAAAATATCTTTCAACTCTATGGGGCAGTTCGAGGTTCTTAAGTCTCTAGAAGGATGATTGTATTTTAAACTTGGTACATGTTTCCTCAGCTTAGAGAGGGTAGGGGACCCCACTCTTCCTTTACATATTCCTTCTCCAGATTGGATTTATGCTGAAACCAGGTGGAAATCTTTTCCCTCTTGGACAGCATCCTGTGTGGTCTCCCATTTTCCACTTCCCTTTCAGAGTTTGTTTGTTCATTAATCTGTTCCTTCATACATGTAACACATTTTTTTAATGCTGGGTACTTTTAAATGGGTAGGCAGTGAGCTAGGTGCTGGGTCTACAATGGTGAGCAAATCAGGTAGAGTCCCTGCCCTCATGGAGCTGTAAGTCTAGTAGGGGAGATGCTCATTAATCAAAGGATAGATATTACAAGTAAACTTTGAAATGTGCTGTGAAAGAAAAGTATAGGAGGTGATGAGCACATACAATAGGGGGATCTGAGCTAGTCTGAGAAGTTAGGGACAGTGTTCCTGAGGAAGGGATATTTGAAGCTGTGATCTGGAGGATATAGGAAATAACTAGGAGGTCGGGGGAGGGGAGAATGGAGAGCATTCCAGGTGGAGGGAGCAGCAGGTGCTAAGACTCTTGGGAGAGAGGAAGGGAACATGAAACATTCAGGGACCTGAACTGAAGAACGCTGTTGTAGCTGGAGCAGAGAGAAAGGGGAAGAGGTGAAATGGGATGAGCACGGTTAGCAGGCTGATGTCTTTCAGGGCTTGGTAGGCTGTGGTGGGAGTGTGGTCTTCATCCTGGGTAGGACCATGAGGGAGCTGCTCCACCCTCACCTTCATGATGGCATGCTTGGGAGACTTCTGATGGAAAATCTGGTAAATCAAAAGTCTGTCACCAGCCACTATAAGTATAAGGCTCTAGATTGCTTTTGAGGTATTAAAGAGATCCCTTTTACTGAAAAGGGGTCTGAGTATTTTACTGACAATATAGGTTTAATATTTTTAAGCCAGTGTTTCTTAGTTTGTTCACTCAGATAATTTTAACGAGATAATTCTTTAGTTACTACTTTAGTTCAGAGATTACGCAGTGTGGAGAAAATGCGTGTTTATTTTGTCTTTGGTTGTGGTTATGGCTTCCCATAAAACCTCATTAGGTCAGGCTTATGGGTGTGGGCAAAGTCTATCTAAATTACAGCTTATTTTATTTTATTTTTATTTTTTGGTGAGGAAGATTAGCCCTAAGCTAACATCTGTTGTCATTCTTCCTCTTTTTTTTTGTTTGTTTGAGGAAGATTAGCCCTGAGATAACATCTGTGCCAGTCTTCCTCCACTTTATATGCGGGTCGCAGCCACAGCATGGCTGATGAGTGGTGTAGGTCCATGCCCGGGATCTAGACCTGCAAACCCAGGCTGCCGAAGTGGAGCTCACTGAACTTAACCACTAAGCCATGGGGCCAGCCCCAATTACAGCTTATTTTAAAAAGAAGTATAACAGTGTTATTGGTATGTTCATGATCATATTCACTGAAATGAAAATAAGCCTATATTGTCTACCAGAAGCTTTTCATTAGTGAACATATGGAAATTTTTACTTAGTAGAATGAAGTCTCAAGCCAAGCATGTTAAGGATATGGTAACTCATTCATTCATTTATATACTTTTGTTCAATAAACATTTATTAAACTCCCCTCCTGACTAGATATTTCTAAATGATATGATACATTTTTATGTGATTTGGATAAAATGTCTCTCATAATTTTCTGTTTTTGTTCAATAAGACATTTTAAAATTGAATACTTAACCCTGTATCATGAAATATTATTTTGAATAAATAAAATTTAAATTAAAAAAATGTAAAAGATCTGCTTGTATACAGGTGCTTTTTAGAAAGCTTGAAGCCTTTCAAGAAGTATTCTCTGGGTATTAGTCTTTCTGTCTTATATTCAGTTACTTTTTAACTTGCACTCCAGAGTTTGGAGTTTAGGTAGACAGAGATCTTTTGGCTAAAGCATATCTCTATTGTAGTTACATGATTACTTTGATTGCAGTCTCACTTTTGCTGTTCAGAAAATTAAATTTCTTCGTTCTCCTAGATGTGGTTGAGGTCAGAGGACTGATTCATGCTAACCCTACTCACAGGAGACTTAGTATAAATCAGAATGCAAGCACCAGTTAGACTATACATATATTGTTCAATGACAAGCCAGTTAGTGTACTATAATTGTTCCTTTTTTCTCTTTGTACAACTCTTTCCTTTTCTCTTGAGTTAAAAATTGCCCTTTTTCATTTGCAATTTAAAAAATATGCATGTCCTTAACTTTTTTCACACATCCCTTCATCTAACAAGTAGCGAAGACTCTCAAATCCCCCTTTTACCTAGAAATTTCCCTTTAGTCTCCCTCCTTTAGGACCCTTTTGTCCTCTTGCTCCAATCTGGATAGATTCTCTCTCTGTCTGATGTGCAACAGTCATCCTTAGGTTTCTCTTCATCACTGTTCTGATTTAGATCCACTATTTATTAGAGTCCTATGCTTTCCTCTTTCTTTGTTTTCTCCTTTACTTTGCTGGAGCACATCCTCCACTAGCTTCCTGTGAAAGGGTGTGAGAGAGAGATTTTCTGAATCATTGCATGTTTCTTGCTTTTTATTTCTGGAAGCTAATAGGATATTTTCTTTATCTCAGGCTCCACCATGTTACAGGTACCTTATTCACAAGTATCAACTCAAAATGGATCACAGACCTAAATGCAAAAGTTAAAACTTTAAAACTTCTAGATAAAACACAAGAGAAAATCTTTATGACCTTCTGTTAGGAAAATATTTCTTTTAGATACAAAAAACGTAGACCATAAAAGAAAAAAACTGAATACATTAGACATTATGAAAGTTAAAACTTTTGCTTTTTGAAAGCCACAATTAAGAAAATGAAAAAGCAAAACATATAATGGAGGAAATATTTTCAATGCATATATCTGACATAAGACTTTTATCCAGAACATACAACGAACTCTTCCAACTCGGTAATTAGAGGAAAATGAATTTAACTTAAAAAATTGGCAAAAGATTTAAAGACACACTTCACAAAAGAAAATATATGAATGGTCACTAGGTACAAGAAAAGATGCTGTGTATCACTAGTCATCAGGGAAATGGAAATTAAAACTACAATGAGATTGCAACACACACCCATCAGAATGGCTAAAATTAAGCAGACTGACAGTACCAAATGTTAGCAAGAAGGTGGAGCCACAGGAAAGCTCCTATGCTGAAATTGATTGGCAATTTCTTAACAAGTTAAACTCCTAATATCTGACTTAGCCACTCTGCTTTTGGGTATTTATCCAAGAGAAACCAAAACATATTCTACATAACCCGTGTACATGAATGTTCTTTTCTCTTTATTTGTAGTAGCCCCAAATTGGAAACACCCTAAATGTCCGTCAATAGGTGCATACACCAACAAATGTGGTATACATACAATGAAATATTTCTCAGTAATAAAAGGAAAGAAAGATTGATACATATAACAACACCAATGAATTTCCATCATTATGTTAAGACTGAAAGAAGCCAAACACTAAGGACTATATGTTAAATGACTCTATTTATATATAATTCTATAAAATGCAGGCTAAAGTGACAGAAAGCAAGTTTGTAGTTGCCTGTGGCTGAGGGTGGAGGAAACATCCTCTCCACTGGAAAAGTACATGGGAAAACTCTTGTGGGATGTAAATATTCCATATGTTTATTGTGGCGGTGGTGTCATGGGTATATCCATATGCCAAAACTCATCGAATTTACAAAATGAATGGATGCAGTTTATTGTTCTTAAATTATACTTCAGTGAAGTTGATAAGAATGAATGAATAATTGCATACATGCATGAATTTATTAATAACAACTAGTAGACATCACAGTCACCAATTTGTCATCTTCAGAAATTCTTAGATAATAGAGATTGTATTACAAAGAGAGTGGTGCACTTACTTTGTAATAGACTCCATGTAATTAATTCTAAACCATTTTACCATGATGTGCGCTTAGTAACTCTTTAGCTAAAATTATGTTTTGCATAAAGATCATGATAAGTAATTTATATATTTCTCTAATTGTAGAAATGTGTAGAGTTTGTATGATAGTTATACCTACAGGTATTGGATAGGAATCTGTAAGTATAGAGTTTGATCTGTGTTCTCATACACACAAGTACAACCTATTAAAAATTTAAAATATGCGATAAACTGTAAAAATTTTTATGACAATTAGAGATTTAAATGGGCATGATATTTAATGTGAAAGAATTACTAATATTTTCTAGATGTAATTGGGCTCTTATTTTAAAAAGTCCTTATCTTTTAGAAATATATACTTAAATGATATAATTTCTGAGGTTTTCTTCAAAATAATACCAGAGAGGGAAAGTGGGTGTGCTTATTGCTGAAACAAGATTGCTTATAACTTGACAATTACTAAAGCTGGCTGTGGGTACAGGTACATGGTGCGGGCTTATATTTTCCTGTTTATATTTATGTATGCTTACAATATTCCATGATAAAAAGATGTGTATATCTTCTAACTTAGCAGTGTCACTTCTAGGAATTTATCTTAAGGAACTTCTCAGGGGTATGAACAAGCAATCCACAATAATGTTCAATGTAGTATTGTTTATTAATTGAAACAACTTAAATACTTAATAGGAATTTGGTTAAATAAATTGATACATTTGTATGATGTAATAGCACATGGAACTCAAAATTATGTTAGAAAAATATGTAATAACATGGAAAAATATTTATGATATATTTTTAAGTGAAAAAAAAATTGTAGGCTCCAAAACAGAATGTTTACAAAAATTTGTTCTTAAATTGTACAAAAAGTAAATTATATGTGTGTGTGTGTATGTGTAGAGAGAGAAACGCTGGGAGGATGTATATTATAATTACATAATTTATATCCTCATAATTTTTAGAAACACCTTTTTGGCAATAGAGTCTGTCTTTTTTTTAATAAAAAAGGTTGAATATTTTCACATTAATATGTTAACAGTACCATGTAGTATAACATTTCACTTTAAAATATTTTATTATGTTTTATTATTTGGTTATTTGGTTATTATTTGTTTTTGGTTAAACCTCAGAGTCTAGCACACTGCTTGACTCATTCTAGGCACTCAATATTATTCAATCAATAGGGATTAGGGTTGATATTTAAAATTTTTTTCTTTAAATTTTTTGGCATTTTTCTTATTTTCTTTGAAGAACATATGTTGCTTTTTTAAGTCAGAAATTCACTATTAAAAAGTGGACAGTTTTGACAGGCTAAAGTTCTGCTCCTCTACTCTGAGATGTAATAAACCAAAATATGTCCTCCTTAAAACTTCATATAAAGTCTGAAATGTAGATATTTGTTCAGCATCTTTTTATTCTGTTTTTTCTAGTTTCAGCTCTCAAACATCTTCAGATAAAGAAGTGGTTGTCAACAGTGGTAAGACCTCTAATTGCCCTTGTGATTCCTTGGGGGGCTGAGGAAGGCTTTAGTGTGTGATGGGCTTTCCTGAACACTGGTGCTTGACCAGGAGTCTCGCATGTGAATAGCCCTTAAACTAGTTTATTCTAAATTATGAGCCAGAAGAGGCTCAAGCCTGATATATTTTACAGTGCTTAGCATATTATTGTCACTCAATTACATTAATAAGACAATGACATTTAGCCTTTGTACTCACCTTTTTTATTTGACAGATCAACAGAATAATGGAGATATGAAACCAATTCAGAATTTCACAGCAATACCAATGACACAGGTATGGATATGTTAGGAAAGTAGATTGTATCTTAAAAAAAAATTTAAACACATTTCAATCAGGTCAGAGACACTATGAAAATATAAATAGTAATTCTATTAATAACTAACATTCTTGCTTGAACTTTGGGTGGGGAAATGTGTTATGGTAATTTTATAGTTCAGGAAAAACTAAAGGTTCACTTGCTGTCATATATATTCATTACAATATTCAGTCTCACTTTTGTTGCTTTCCAGATAGAATCACTATGGTAACAGTTTATCTTTGGTTACTGGTAAATTTGGATTGCTGCTGCCTGTTTATTTTCTCTTAATCTGTACTACACTGGAGTAATTGGTATGGAACAGTTGACCTCGATAAGTGGATCTTGTTTCAGATATAGACCTGTCTTTGTGACCTCCAGAGTCAGGTACTGAAGTGCATCGTCTTGGGTTTCCTAGAAATCACAAAGGATTCATAAGATGTAGAACAATGTTAGAATACTTTGCTAGTTTATGTATATTAAATGTTCTGAGCCGCTCTGTCCAAGACAGTAGCCACTAGCCACTTGTGGCTATCTAAATTTAAATTCAAATGAAATAATATTAATTAAAATGAAAAATTAAGGTCCCCCGTTGCACTGGCCACATTTTCAGTGCATAATAATAGCCACATGTAGCCAGTGGTTACTGAGCTGAAGAGAGCAGATATAGAACATATCCAATAAGGCAGAATGTTGTATTGGACATTAATGGTCTGGAGAATGAAGCTTGATTTCTAGAAACCTTTTGTTTTCTTTAACATGTTAATTTCTTTATTTAAAGTCCTGCATTATTTGGGTTCTTGTGACATTTTCTGAAGAGATTACTGTCATTAGTTTCATGGCATGGTGAAATTTTATTTATTTATTTATTTTTTATTAAGATTATGATAGATTACAACCTTGTGAGATTTCAGTTGTACATTATTGTTAGTAATGTTGTGGGTACACCACTTCACCCTTTGTGCCCTCCCCCCACCTCCCCTTTTCCCTGGTAACCACTGATCAGTTCTCCTTGTCTATATGTTAACTTCCACCTATAAGTGGAGTCATATAGAGTTTGTCTTTCTCTATCTGGCTTATTTCGCTTAACATAATACCCTCAAGGTCCATCCATGTTGATGCGAATGGAACAATTTGGTCCTTTTTTATGGCTGAGTAGTATTCCATTGTGTATATATACCATATCTTCTTTATCCAGTCATCAGTTTCTGGGCATTTAGGTTGGTTCCACGTCTTGGCTATTGTAAATAATGCTGCGATGAACATAGGGGTGCATGCGACTCTTGGGATTGCTGATTTCAGGTTCTTAGGATAGATACCCAGTAGTGGGATGGCTGGGTCATAGGGTATTTCTATTTTTAACTTTCTGAGAAATCTCCATACTGTTGTCCATAGTGGCTGCACTAGTTTGCATTCCCACCAACAGTGTATGAGGGTTCCTTTTTCTCCACAATCTCTCCAACATTTGTCACTCTTGGTTTTGGATATTTTTGCCAATCTAACGGGTGTAAGGTGATATCTTAGTGTAGTTTTGATTTGCATTTCCCTGATGATTAGTGATGATGAACATCTTTTCATGTGTCTATTGGCCATACTTATATCTTCTTTGGAGAAATGTCTGTTCATGTCCTCTGCCCAATTTTTGATCAGGTTGTTTGTTTTTTTGTTGTTAAGCTGTGTGAGTTCTTTGTATATTATGGAGATTAATCCTTTGTCGGATAAGTAGCTTGTAAATATTTTTTCCCAATTAGTGGGCTGTTTTTTTGTTTCAATCCTGTTTTCCCTTGCCTTGAAGAAACTCTTTAGTCTGATGAAGTCCCATTTGTTTATTCTTTCTATTGTTTCCCTCATCTGAGGAGTTATAGTGTCCGAAAAGATTCTTTTGAAACTGATGTCAAAGAGTGTACTGCCTATATTCTCTTCCAGAAGACTTATTGTTTCAGGCCTAATCTTTAGGTCTTTGATCCATTTTGAGTTTATTTTTGTGAATGGTGAGAAAGAATGGTCAATTTTCATTCTTTTACATGTGGCTGTCCAGTTTTTCCAGCACCATTTGTTGAAGAGACTTTCTTTTCTCCATTGTAGGCCCTCAGCTCCTTTGTCAAAGATTAGCTGTCGATAGATGTGTGGTTTTATTTCTGGGCTTTCAATTCTGTTCCATTGATCTGTGCACCTGTTTTTGTACCAGTACCATGCTGTTTTGATCACTGTAGCTTTGTAGTATGTGTTGAAATCGGGGATTGTGATGCCTCCAGCTTTGTTTTTCTTACTCAGGATTGCTTTAGCAATTCACGGTCTTTTGCTGCCCCACATGAATTTTAGGATTCTTTGTTCAATTTCTGTAAAGAATGTCCTTGGGATTCTGATTGGGATAGCATTGAATCTGTAGATTCCTTTAGGTAGTATGGACATTTTAACTATGTTTATTCTTCCAATCCATGTGCATGGAATATCTTTCCATCTCTTTATGTCGTTGTCAGTTTCTTTCAAGAAAGTCTTGTAGTTTTCATTGTATAAATCTTTCACTTCCTTGGTTAAATTTATCCCAAGGTATTTTATTCTTTTCATTGCGATTGTGAATGGGATTGAGTTCTTGAGTTCTTTTTCTGTTGGTTCATTGTTAGTGTATAGAAGTGCTACTGATTTATGTGTGTTGATTTTATACCCTGCAACTTTGCTGTAGCTGCTGATTGTTTCTAATAGTTTTCCTATGGATTCTTTGGGGTTTCCTATATATAAGATCATGTCGTCTGCAAACAGCGAGAGTTTTACTTCTTCGTTGCCTATTTGGATTCCTTTTATTTCTTTTTCCTGCCGAATTGCTCTGGCCAACACCTCCAGTACTATGTTGAATAGGAGTGGTGAAAGTGGGCACCCTTGTCTTGTTCCTGTTCTCAGAGGGATGGCTTTCAGGTTTTGTCTGTTGAGTATGATGTTGGCTGTGGGTTTGTCATATATGGCCTTTATTATGTTGAGGTACTTTCCTTCTATACCCATTTTATTGAGGGTTTTTATCATAAATGGGTGTTGGATCTTGTCGAATGCTTTCTCTGTGTCTATTGAGATGATCATGTGGTTTTTGTTTCTCATTTTGTTAATGTAGTGTATCACGTTGATTGACTTGCAGATGTTGAACCATCCCTGTGTCCCTGGTATAAATCCCACTTGATCATGGTGTATAATCTTTTTGATGTATTGCTGTATTCGGTTTGCCAGAATTTTGTTGAGGATTTTTGCATCTATGTTCATCAGTGATATCGGCCTGTAGTTCTCCTTCTTTGTGTTGTCCTTGTCAGGTTTGGGGATCAGAGTGATGTTGGCTTCATAGAATGTGTTAGGGAGTACTCCATCTTCCTCAATTTTCTGGAATAGTTTGAGAAGGATAGGTATTAAATCTTCTTTGAATGTTTGGTAGAATTCTCCAGAGAAGCCGTCTGGTCCTGGACTCTTATTTTTGGGGAGGTTTTTGATTACTGTTTCTATTTCTTTACTTGTGATTGGCCTATTCAGATTCTCCATTTCTTCCTGGTTCAGTTTGAGGAGGTTGTAAGAGTCCAGGAATTTGTCCATTTCTTCTAGGTTGTTCAATTTGTTCGCATATAGTTTTTCATAGTATTCTCTTATGATCTCTTGTATTTCTTTGGTATCTGTTGTGATTTCTCCTCTCTCATTCCTAATTTTATTTATTTGAGGTTTCTCTCTTCTTTTCTTGGTGAGTCTGGCTAAGGGTTTGTTGATTTTGTTAATTTTTTCGAAGAACCAACTCTTTATTTCATTGATCCTTTCTACTGTCTTTTTTGTTTCAATATCGTTTATTTCTGCTCTTATTTTTATTATTTCCCTCCTTCTACTGACTCTGGGCTTTGTTTGTTCTTCTTTTTCTACTTCTGTTAGGTGTCATTTGAGGTTGCTTATGTGAGCTTTTTCTTGTTTAGTGAGGTGAGCCTGTATTGCAATCAATTTCCCTCTTAGGACTGCTTTTGCTGCATCCCAAATGATTTATTATGACGTATTCTCATTTTCATTTGTCTCCAGATAATACTTGATTTCTTCTTTAATTTCTTCAATAATCCATTGTTTGTTCAGTAGCATGTTGTTTAGTCTCCACATTTTTGCACCTTTCTCTGCTTTATTCTTGTAGTTGATTTCTAGTTTCATAGCATTATGATCAGAAAAGATGCTTGATATTATTTCAACTCTCTTGTATTTATTGATGCTTACTTTGTTTCCCAAAATATGGTCTATTCTTGAGAATGTTCCATGCGCACTTGAGAAGAATGTGCAGCCTGCTGTTTTTGGATGAAATGTTCTAGATATATCTATTAAGTCCATCTGGTCTAATTTTTCATTTAATTCTATAATTTCCTTGTTGATTTTCTGTCTGGATGTTCTATCCATTGGTGTTAATGGGGTGTTGAGGTCCCCTACTATTATTGTACTGTTGTTGATGTCTTCTTTTAGTTCTGTTAAGAGTTGCTTTACAAATTTTGGTGCTCCTGTGTTGGGTGCATATATATTTATAAGTGTTATGTCTTCTTGGTGGAGAGTCCCTTTGATCATTATATACTGTCCCTCTTTGTCTTTCTTTATCTGTTTTGCTTTGAAGTCTACTTTGTTTGATATTAGTATAGTGACATCTGCTTTCTTTTGTTCATTATTAGCTTGGAGTACTGTCTTCCATCCCTTCACTCTGAGTCTGTGTTTGTCTTTGGGGCTGAGGTGTGTTTCCTGGAGGCAGCATATTGTTGGGTCTTGTTCTTTGATCCATCCTGCCACTCTGTGTCTTTTGATTGGAGAGTTCAATCCGTTTACATTTAGAGTGATTATTGAAATGTGGGGGCCTACTGCTGCCATTTTATGTCTTGTTTTCTGGTTTTCTTCAATTTCCTTTGTTTCTCGTCCCATGGTTTAATCTGTTCTGATGGAGAGCTGCTACTCTCTGTTGTTGTCCTTCTACTTATCTCCTTTGCTCTTGGTTTTGTAGCCCCTTTCCTTTTTTTGATTTTTCGGGAATGAGGGTTTTCCTGAGCATTTCTTGAAGAGGAGGTTTTGTGGGAATGAACTCCCTTAATTTTTGTTTATCTGGGAAAGTTTTTATTTCTCCATCGTATTTGAAGGATGTTTTCGCTGGGTAGAGAATTCTTGGCTGCAGGTTTTTGTCCTGCAGATTTTTGAATATATCATTCCACTCTCTTCTAGCCTGTAAAGTTTCTGCTGAGAAATCTGCTGATAGCCTGATGGGGGTTCCTTTGTAGGTTAGTGTCTTCTGCCTGGCTGCCCTTAGTATTCTCGCCTTGTCATTGACTTTTGCTAGCTTCCCTACTATATGCCTTGGGGTTGGTCTACTTGCATTGATAAAGTTTGGAGATCTATTGACTTCTGTCACATGAAGTTCCATCTCTTTCCCCAGGTTTGGGAGGTTCTCAGCCATTATTTCTTTGAATAGGCTTTCTGCCCCCTTCTCCCACTCTTCTCCCTCTGGTATACCTATAATCCTTACGTTGCATCTCCTAATTGCATCAGATAATTCTCGGAGAGTTTATTCATTTCTTTTTAGTCTTAGTTCTCTCTCCTCCTCTGTCTGCAGCATTTCTATATTCCTATCTTCCAAATTGCTAATTCTTTCCTCCATATTATCGGCCCTACTGTTCAGTGCGTCTAGATTTTTCTTAATCTCCTCTATTGTGTTCTTCATTTCCAATATTTCTGTTTGGTTCTTCTTTATAGTATCGAACTTTTTTGTGACATAACTCCTGAGCTCGTTGAGTTGTCTATCTGAATTCTCTTTGAACTCATTGAGTTTTTTAATGATGGCTGTTTTGAAGTCATCAACATTTAGGTTATATATTTCATTGTCTTTGGAATTGTTTTCTGTGTGTTTGTCATTTTCCTTCTGTTCTGGAGATTTAATATATTTTTTCGTATTGCTTGATGGTGTAGATTTGTGCCTCCACATAGAGATACAGTTTAGTTACTGCTTCCACTTGTTTCTACTGGTGTGGTGGGGGGACAGCTGTTTATACTGCACCAACCAGGAACCCTATCAGCTGTTGCTAACTGGGCTGGGCCCCTCCTCGCAGTCACAGTGATCCTGTGGGTTCCCTCTTCAGCTGTGGGGGCCGTCACAAGGGGGCTTCAGGCTGCTGGTGCCTACTGTTGCAGACAACCTAGACGTGCTCCCTCCTTAGGGTCTGCAGCGGTGTTATGGGCTTTCCCAGCTGCCAGGGGCAGGATCACTTATATTTGCAGCTCTGTCACTGTCGGTGCCCACAAAATCTCACTTGTCCACAATGGGTCACAGCAGAGATATGGGCATCTTCTGCAGTCTGTGGTTAGCTCACCTAGCTGTGCTACTTTTGTCCCAGGGTCTTCCAGCCTTGTGGTTGCTCTCTACTAGTGCTGTGCAGATGCTATCACTGAGGCTGCTGTGAGACTGTAGAGTTTCCCCCTGGGCCATGGAGCTGGGTCGTTGGAACTCCACCCAGCCCCAGTCCTCTCCCCTAGGATCTTGGGGAGCCCCTTGCCCTGTCTGGGGGATAGCCGGAGACCTTGAGTTCAGTGGCAGCTGGCCGGCTGCTGCGCTGCCTGGGATTCTCCTCTTCGGGACCCTCCCGGCATTGTGGATGCTGGGCGGAGCCTCTCCACTAATGGCAGGCAGAGACTTTGCCTGCTGCCTGGACGGAACTCTGGAGTTTCCCCCCCGGGCCGCGGAGCCAGCCACTGGAGCTCCACCCAGCCCCAGTCCTCTCCCAGGAGATCTCCGGTAGTCCCAAGCCCCTCCCGGGTGAAAGCCCGGTCAGTGGAGCTGGCGGCAGCAGCTGGTGGGCTGCCACACCGTTTGGGATTCTCTCTGGGAGCCTCCCAGCGTTGTGGATGCTGGGAGGGGCCTCTCCACTAATGGGGGGTAGGGGTTTTCCCCGCCGCCTCTGGTGTGTAACTCTGGAGCTTCCCTCTGGGCTTAGGTGTAATTGCGGGGGGCTTAGGTAGGGCTCTGGTTACCTGTTTCCACCGTCACTCCTCTGGTGTGCACTCCCTCCTGCCCTTGGTGTGTGGCGATGTTCTGGGGGCATCCGCTGGAAGAAAGCCACTTGCAGGTACTAGGCTGTTCGGGGGTCGGGGTCGGAGAGTTTTCACCTATCTCCACCTCTTCCCGGAGGGAAGTCCATCTGCCTTCCGATGTATAGCAGCGTGGGTCTCTCAGGCGTCCTGAGATGCTATATGAATATCCTTTGTTAAGCGATGAATGTCCAATTAGTTGTAGACTCAAAAGGGGAGAGACAAAGAAGACTACTCATGCCGCCATCTTGGATCTTCTCTGGAATTTTATTTTTTAATAATAGACTTTATTTTTCTTTTGGGTGGTTTTAGGTTTACAGAAAAAATTGAAAAAAAGTACAGAAGTTTCCCACATAACCCCTCTATCCCTTCCTCCAATTTCCCCTATATTTAACATCTTGCATTAGTGTGATACGTTTGTGAAAATTGATGAACCAATATTGATACATTATTATTAACTGAAGTCCACAGTTTACATTAGGATTCACTCTCTGTGTTGTACATGTTATGGGTTTTAGCAAATGTATAATGATATCTATCTACCATTACACAGAATAACAGTTTCACGGCCCCAAAATCTGCTGTGCTCCTCCTATTCATCCCTTCTTCCTCCCCCAGCATGATAACTTTTAAACTCTATATTGCTAATATTATTATTTGCAATTTTTTTTTGTTTGTTTTCTTACAAGTTACTTCTTTCCATTTTTGGTTCTTTGTGGAATGGGGTTCATGTACCTCTCAGGTATAACTATCATTTTGGGCTTGTTATGATCTAGTCTGTCCATCTCCTTTGCTCCACAGTAGCATGGACTCTGGAGCTGAGAGATCAGAGTTTTAGCAGGTTGTAAACTAACCCTTTTATTAATAACCCTTTTATTAATTATTTAATAATCTAATAATTTAATTAATTTAAAACAAATTCGTATCTTGAATTTCATTTATTTGGTGAATTAGGCTCTCAACTGCAATCTGAGCAGACAAGGACATTTAGAGAAAGAACATTGGAATGCATTCAGCCGTCATAGCCCAGTGAACGTCTCCATGGATGGAGTTCCCTGCATTCTCTTCTGGGCCAAAAGAATAACAATTAAATTTAAGAATCAGACTCAGCTGGACCTTACGGATGAAGCTTTTGGCCAGAAGGCAACAGTGGATGCTGGCAACTCAAATTGCAGAGAAGAAAGTGCCACGTAAGTTGACTGCTTTGTGGGAGGAAGCCCTTGGGGTGACTGTAGTCTATTAACTGGGCATCCAGTTTTCTGAGATTTCAGAAAAAAGAAGTAGGCTCTTTTGGACATGACTCTGACACACATCTTTGGGGAAATGTTTAATGTCTAAAATGGAAGAACCAGTTATTGATTAATTTTAAAAAATTTGTTATTTTTTCCCCAGCAATTTTCATCTGAACTCTTTTAGCTGATTGTTACGAAAGCTTGTGGAAAATCAGGGTTCTGAAAATGAAGGTTCCCAAACTCACTCTGGAAAAGGGAAAAGGATTCCAGGTGTGGTGTCAACTCCACATGCGAGGTGTCAACTACTTTTGTCCCACCAGGGAGGACGTTACATACCACAGAGCACCGTCAGATGTATTACAGTGGGTGAGACAGAGAAGGTGACTCTAGTCAGGGCAGATGTCTGATTGCAGGGAGTCTTCTGAAGTTGCGGAGCGTTGCCTCTTTGTAAGTGCGCAAGGGTACCTTTGAAGGGCCAAATTTCAGAGAATTCTTTAAGATTCATAATGATTAGAATAATTACTTTTGATTTGAGATAAGCAGATTAAACAAATATCCCTTTCAAAGAAGTCAATTTCCAGTGCCTTTCTCCGGTTTTCACTCATCCAAGCAAAAATGTTTGCCTGTATTTGTTTTGGTCCAGGGGTAGGAAGTCTGGCGTGTCCCACTTGCTTTCTATAAACCTCCTTGCTTTCAACATTTGCTGGTATAATGGAGACTTTTGGAAGATTTTCTGCATTTGTTCTGGCCTGGTTTAGAAGGGCAGAATGCTTTGTATAAACCATAACCTAAAGTGTGTGTGTGTGTGTGTGTATTCTTTTTATATACTTTGGCTGGAAATACTTTTTTATTCCTGAACTTATCATTTAAAAATTATTGATGATGGGTAAAAGTGGATTATATTAATATACACCTGCAAGTTATATTACGAGTCTTAGTAAGTATCTCGCTATTCAGAACCACCGTCTCTTATTAGGGAATTGTAAGCATAAGCATCCAGAGTCCTCCCAGATCTCTTTATTCTGTTTCAGCACGACTACCGAAGAGACTCAGCCCTGCTGAGAGCTCAGGACTTTTTCCTCAGGCTCTAATTAATTCCCTACAGGGCTCTTTATTTGTGGTCAGCTGTGCGGAGAGAGGCCGATGCCTGGGGATCATCTTGCCTGTCCATGGCTGACTGGCCCTCCTGGATTCCATTTGTCCTGACCCCAGGTATTTGCGGGGAAGATCAGGGCACCACAGCATTTTGCTGTGCTTTAGAAACCTTATTGATCACTGGGAACCCAGAAACAGAAAGAATGAAAATTTGGCTTCTAGGCCCAGTTCTGCCAGAGAGCTCTGTGACTTTACAAACAGGAACCACCATAGGATCATCGTCTGTGAGACGGAGCTGATGGCATCTATCTAAAAGGCCTTGAACACTTACCATGAGCCAGATACCGTGTGAGGACTTCACAGGCACATCTATTATTCCTCATAATACTATTGCGAATAAGTCCCCGAGTTACAGGTACTATTATGATCCATGTTTCAGGTGAGGAAGTCAAGGCTCGTAGATGTTAGGATACTTGCCAAGATCATACAGCTTGTATGGTGATAGACTGGGGTCTAAAATGTCTTTAGCAATGAGATTTTACCTCCTCTCTTGGCCCGACAGCATAGAGTTGTGAAAATCATATGAGGAAATGTATGCATGAGAACTTTGAGAGCTTGTCAAGTGCCGCTCACAGTAGTAGTATTACCTTCCTAGCTTCCTGATGATAACTAGAGTAAATAAAGTAGTGTCTAGTGACCTGGTGGAGAGGCCCAGGGAAGCTATGGTTTTCACAGCGCACACATGAATGATTGGGCAGGGCCTGACTTTTTCTTCCTGTCACCACCCTAAAATGCTAGCCGGGGCGAGTCCTGAGTGTGCAGCAGCCACCTCTTAGAGTCGTGCTCGGGCGAGCGTGCAGGCTTCCTGGAGAGCCCACCCAAGGGGATGAGTGGGAGGCTTCCTGGGACATGAGGTGTTCAAGGACCAGCTGCAGAGACTTAGTGTTCCTGATTCCGGAGAATCACACAGATTAGTGAGGTTCGTTTGCTGTGCTGGCAAGGAAATCCTGTGTTCTCAAGAACCAGAAAGGGAGTTGCCGAAAGAACAAACCCAAGCAAAGACATAACCATGTAGGGTCAAAAGCACAGATTTAAAAAAGATGACCATGTTTTAGCGCTTGGAAACAAAATGTTCAGGGAAAGGCAAGCTGTTGGCAGACAGATTTGCTATAGAAGTCTTTTCAAATAGCGAAAGCCCTACAAAGAGAGCATAATCCCAGCATCTGTGTGTATTTTGAATTTAGACAATTATAATCTGAAGAATTCAAAATCCATCTTAAGCGTGGGAGAGTAGGGTGCTGGGAAGAGTAAAAGAAGCTCCTTTCTGAGTGACTGGTGAGGCTGTAACTCTCCCGTGTGTTCCCAGGTTATGGCACGGTGCCTGGCACTGGAAAGATTCTCCCTGAAGGATCGTTGAATTTGCTTTGTTGAACTCAGGCCTCATGCTCTGTACTCAGCAGCACAGCATGTTATCGAGCTTTCACTGAAACCAGGACTGCTGGAGAAGGATTGTGGAGGGTCAGAAGTGTGGAGGCCACTGAGCTGCTCCATCAGGAGACGGGGACGGAGGTTAGGGTGGGCTCAGCATGGCTTTGCTTTGAAGTTTAGTTTGTTAGCTGTAGAGCCAGTTTATGGGTAACTAAGCTATTCTGATTCCTTGGAAGAACTAGAGAAATTCTGTTAGAATAAGTGACCAATCAAATTTATAAAGTGTTATTCAAGAAATGCATTTTACTTCTTTAAAGTATTTTCAGTAATTTGTAACAGAGTGTGGGAGTATTGTTAGAGAAAGGTCCTATTGAAGGCTTGCCCTATTGTGTAAATTAGCTACAAAGTGTTTGTTAATGAGTGCCTCTAAGGTGTCTAAATTTATGATGTTAGGAAATAAAGATATTTCTCTTAGCAATCTTATTTTATGGTTTGTTTTGTAAGTACCCCTTCCCTTTTCCCTGTAAATGGTATGAAGATAAACTTCAGCTCAATTGCTGACATTCTTACTTCTTGATAAGTGGGACCAAGTTAATGAGATTATATTTATGTGATTTGTTTTTCAAGCTTGTAATTGGACATTTTATAACTATCTACTTTCACTTTTTTGGTTTTATAATGTATATTGAGGTGTTATAACTTCTAGACATTATAACATCACATAGCAGTGTCATACTTTGTGTATTTAAATTCCTCACCTTTTCCCATTTCAATTATTTACTTAACTTTTTGCCATTCCTATTTTTCAACCTCATTGAAATATAAGTGAAATACACTAAACTACATATCTTTAAAGCAGACAATTTGATCAGTTTTGACATATGTGTTTACCCATGAAACCATCACCACAATCAAGATAGCAAACATTTACTTCACTTACAAAAGTTTCCTTGTGCCCTTTTGTAACATCCCTCTTGCCACTCCCACCTCTCTACGTGAACACTGATCTTCTTTCTATCATTATAGATTAGTTTGCATTTTCTAGAATTTTATATAAGTGTAATTGTATAGTGTACATTCTTTTTTAGTCTGGCTTCTTTCACTTGCGTAACGATTTTGAAATTCTCATATATTGTTGCATGTATCAAAGGTATGTTCCTTTCCATGGCTAAGTAGTAAGTGCTCCATTGGATGGATATAGCACAACTTATTTATCCCTCCACCTCTTGATGGAGATTTGTTTTTTCCTCCAGTTTTTAGATAACTTTCTAAATGAAGTTGCTATAAGCATTCATGTACAAGTTTTTGTAGGAGCATATATTTTCGTTTCTTTTGGGTAAATACCCAGGAGTGGAATGGCTGGATCATATGGTAGGTGTATGTTTAGCTTTTTAAGAAACTGCCAAACTGTGTTGAAAGTGGTGGTGCCGTTTGCCTTTCTAGCAGCGTTGTGTAAGAGCTCCAGCTGCCTCACATCCTCACCAACTCTTGGTATGGTTAGTGTGGGACTGTAGAGAAAATATTTTTGTGTTCTTGCATGGTGAGTAATTTTTGAACAAATTTTACTGGAACCTGGGTTAAAAGATAAGTCTTGGAGTTGATAAGAGATTTATCTTCTCAGAGGGGTGTGTTTACATGTCAAGGAGTAATGAAACTCAGCCATGCAGACGTTCCGGGGCTTGGCAACCCAGAGAGGCTTCTTATCTTCCCCTTGGAGACATTTATTTACATACATGGGTTAGACCTGCAGCCATTTGTCTCCTTTATGGTGAGCTGTTTGCCCCCATCCAAAGGCTAACAAAACTCATCAGAGGTACCTTCTGAGCTAGGAACCCAGGATCCTTCCCTTGTCTCTTCCCAAGGAAAATTTTTGACACTAAGGAGGCAGATGTTTCTCTCCCTTTCTCAGGAGGTGAAGGGGGACCACTGTCTCTCTCCAGATAAACTCCCAGGTTCATAATTCTGGTGTTCCTCACCTGTGTGACAAATTCTAGTACATACAGGATGGTATCTGGCTCTCTTCATGTTGCCCGTGAGGAAGAATTGGGTTAAAAGGGGAACCAATGTGGTTGTTGCTATGAGTTAGTAATAATCTGTCTCTGCTCCAGGAAATCTCATATTAACTTTCAGAAAAATGGGGATAAATATAGGTATTAAAAGCTTCCAAGTAGATTTTTTTAAAAAAGTTTTAGTCATTCTGATTACTGTACCATGTTATCTTGTAGCATTATTTTATATTTTTCTAATGACTAATGATGTGAGCATCTTTTCATGTATTAATTGGCTGTTTGTATATCTTCCTTCATGAAGTGCCTATCTTTTGACCATTTTAAGTTGAGTTGTCTTCTTGTTATTGAGTTGTTAGTGTTATTTATTATAGTACAGATAGAAGTTCTTTGTCTATATGTGCTGTGAATATTTTCTTCCACTCTATGGCTTGTCTTTTTTGTTTTCTTAATAGTATCTTTTGAACAGCAAAAGTTTTTGAATTTAATAAAGTTCAATTATCAATTTTTTCTTTTATAGTTTGTACTTTTGTATTTTTTCAAGAAACCATTGGCTGTCCCAAGATTGCACAAATATTATTCTATAAGTTTATAGTTTTGGTTTTTACATTTAGGTCTATGAACATTTTGAGGTAATTTCTGAGTGCAGTGTGAAGTAAGGGTTGTTCCTGTTTAGATGGACTGTGTTGTTTCTGTTTTCTCAGGTTGTCTCTGAAGTTTGATGATGCTCAAAATCCCAAAGGTCTTGATGTAAGGTAGGTATGGGTACCACTTTGGAGTATCATAGGTTCAGTGTTTCAGATTAGCTCCATATAATTTATTGATTCAACATGCTAGTATCAAGGACCTGCTGTGTGCTAAGCACTGACGTGTGAAATGTCACCTCTACCTAATTACACTGAAAAGTCAGTGGTGTTATGTGATGGGATCCTATCGTAATGCTTCCTTTAGTTTCTACCAAAGCATCTATAGTTTCCTCAGTTAGGGACCTTGAGAACACACGAACACATGAATGTGAGAATGTGATACCCTTTTCCTCTGAGCAAAAAATATACTTAAAGCTCCAAGGGCTGGGGCTCTGATTTAAAGTTTCTTTCTATATAGCTCCTTACAGTGAATCACACTTATCATTTAAGGATAATGAAAAATTCTCCATTAGCTGACTTCCCCAGCAGATAAGCAACACAGGCCTGCGTTTTTGTCTTTATGTATGGAAGGATGCATCTGCCGACAGTGGTTTGTCCAAGTAGTTAGGAACTGCTCTGGGGAAGGGTGGGGCGTGCCAATTTGGACACATTACATTTTTTTTTTCTTATCGAAATATGTTTCCCTTCCTATAGGATCAAGCTTTTAGTGAAGATAGGAGCTGTGTCTTTAACATTACTTGAAAAACCAGCAGGGTGTGTTTGGGCAGTCTTTCCCAAGCTGTGTTCTGTGAAACACTTCTGCTCTATGAAAATATTTATAAGAGTCCCCATAAAAGGTATTCTGTGGTCAAATGTGTTTGAGAAACACTACCCACCCTGTGTTCCTTTTGGAGCGTCACCGTGTAAACTTGTATATGAAGGTTTCTGTGAAGACGCGTCTTAAGGAAGATGTTGCACCTGGTAGCTTTGATTAACCCAGTGTTTCCTGGTATCACCCTGGAAAGCTCTCTCGTCAGAACACTTTCCTGCATATCATGGGACACTAGTGTTTCACTGGTCGTAATTTAGAAAACGCATGTCATTACCTTCCAGAGAAACTTTAAAAGGAAAATAGAAACCCAGAAGGTAACCAAACACATACACATAGCTGTTTGATATACGATTGAGGAATATTTTTGATTCAAATAGCACTTTTTTTCCCCAAAAGGAAAATAGCTCTATGATTATTATTTTTCTGAGATAAAGGTATGTGGCAGACACTGTCAGTACCCCATCTATACCCCCTTGGGCATTTCCATTGCAGCCACTACAGTCCACCAGCTCAACTTTCACTGCTAGCCCTTCTTTGCCTAAAAGTTTCCTCTGGCCAAAGGGGCCCACTGCCTCCTGTGCCTGCCCCAGCAGCCCTCAACCAGTGAGTGAAGCGAGGGTATAAATGCCCCAGCTCTCTCAGCCTCAGGCGAGAGAACTCAGAGGCAGGCATTCTACTCGGGCTCCAGGGTTCCTCATGGGCATTAAGCCCCACTTACCACAGTGGAAACTTGCTTAATCATGTGTCGTTTTTGACTGTCTTCCATTCCTCTGTTGTTTCTCTTCTCTCCATACTACATATTTTGAATGGCCAAATTCCCCAATACCTTTGGGGTCACCTCCCAAAAATACTTTTTGTATCCACATCTTTGTCTCAGGGTCTGCTTCTGTAGAACCCCAAGCTAACACAAGGTAATACATGTCCATTGAAAACAGAAAAATCAGAAAATATCGAGCTATAAAAAGAAAAAAATGAAAATCATTCATAATCCAACCACCATTTGTAATGACTAATTAGCATTTTGATGTCTACCCTTCCAGAATTTTTTTTTATGCAGTCACACATATTTTTTTAGTGAAAAAAAAGGTCATGGCCTATGTACATTATAATGTTTTTATGGCTGGAGAATAGTCCATTCCAAAATGGCTAAGAATAAGGGCTCTCGTCTCAGGTTGGATTCAAAGCCCAGCTCCAATGCTTACTCTCTCAGTGAACTTGCAGAAATGATTTACTTAACTCTTCTGTGTCTTATTCCTCGTCTAGGAGATGAGGACGGTAATATTATCTGTCTCATGGCGTTGTGGTAGAGAGTGAATAAAATACACATAAAGAACACAGAAAGGTGCTTCACACGTAGTCAGAACTATTCCTATTATTTTTGAACATTCTTTATTTAGCTAATTCTATATTGATGTCCATTCAAGTTGTTCTCAAGTTTTTGGCAATAATATCGAGTGTTGATTCTAAAAAATAAAAAAGCCGAGTTTTTTGTAAGAGTTTGTGTTGCTTACTTTTCAGGGCCCTGTCATTTGCTTTCATTCCAAACCGGAAACGTAAAAGCCTCTCTTGAGGCAGTTCTACTACCTGACAACAGAGGGCGCGATTGTACCGTTCATAGACGATGTCCTGTGTCAGCAAATGTAGAAGAGCTTTGGGGGTAATACTGTTTCATAATCATTTTCAGATTCACCCTTATCAATTACAACAAGTTGTCCATCCAGGGCTGGTTTAGTTTGCACCGAGTCGAGATTATTTTCAATAATTCCATCCAAGCAACCTTCAATGCAACTGGCATATATGCTCCGTCACGTTATTCCTACCACTGCCAGCGCGTCAGCAGCCTGCAGCGGTACGATGCCCTCTTGGTGCCCAGCGACACGGATGATACGTCAAGCCTGTGGGAGGTCACTTTTGTTGATTTCCAGGTAATAAACTAAAACATAGGCTCAGTGCACCTGTGTATTTGGAGCCAAAGAAACTCGGTAAAACTGAAACATGTGTTTAAGGAAAAGAGAGGAGTGGATACTTTAAAAATAATATCGGTATTGTTTTTCTGTATCTTCTAGGGTATGAAGTGGACTAGGATATTTTCTCTCCCTGCACAGCCCTCCCCGCTCCCCCTTGCTTTACAGTCAGGTTTATCCAGCCACTAATAACTATCAGTGAGGAATGCCAGCAATCTAAGCCGGGGAGAAGCTGTGGCCTGAAGCCCAGTGACTGACACTTCCTGGAGTGAGAGGCCCTTCTGGGCAGAGGAATTGTTGGACAATTATTGTACTTCCTTCAGGGAGTGAGCAGTGATCCTATCAGGGCAGATAAGAAGTACATCTGTAGCGTGAGTGACAGCTTTGGCAGGTAGCATAGGAAGGGAACTGTCAGCCAGGGAGTCAAAAATATCCCAAAGCTCCTCTTGAAAGTCTTTGGGGAGGGGGCGGGAGCACAAGAGGTTCCTTTTCACCAGCAGAGTCTCAGGCTGGGAGACGTCTGTCAAGTTCCTCCGTCCTGTTTACCTGTGAAAAAAGCTTCTCTTGTTCTTCCGAGTCACTGAAATAGGCAGGGTTTTGCACATCCCTTTTAGGGGCACTTTCCAATTTTACATACGTATATATCCACAGAACCCTCCCTCCCCAGGCTGGAGCAGTGTGGGGGGGGAGGACGCTGAGGAGAGGTGGTTTGGGGGAGGGAAGGAACTTGCCTCTCTGAGTCTGAAAGACCTGGGTTCAAATTACTTCTCAAACTACACCTTCTCAATTTCTGACCTATCCTTATGAACATAAATAATTCATGGCCCAATATGTGTGGCGACACCCAGGACTGTGTCAGCATGGAAGCAATAGCTGCTGCTTGTGAGTCCCATCTGTGTTGACACTGTTGTGGTTATCGCACATTGTTTGTCTTCAAAAAGCTTATAATGCTGTAAGGTAGCTGTTATTATCCCTGTGTTACAAGTGAGATGACTGAAGCTCTGATACTTACATAATTTTTCAAAATGATATAACTGGTAAATAGGAGAGGCAGAATCTGAATTCTGGACTGTCTGGTTCCAAAGACACTTATATATATATTACATATATATATACACATTATATATACATATACACACACACACAAACATACATACATATATATACACACACATATATACATATAAGTTATATGTCTATATACATATATAAATTATATATTATAAATTATATGTATAACAAATTATATGTATTTATGTCTTCATAAATATATAAATTATATGTAGATATATATACATACATACATACATATATGTACGTACATATATACATATAAATTGCATATACATATATATGTATATGTATATATGTATATGTAATTTCTCTCTCTTGATATTTCAAAACAGCAGCAGGCAGAAAGGGCAATGAGAAAGTAATAATGAAAACAAGGAATAATGCACACATACCCTAATTAGAAAGGAGGAATTGACTGATTTATGCCTCCACCTGTTCCAGACATGACTTAAGGGGACTTACAGAAATACTACAAGAAAAATCACTTTGAAAAATGGGCAAACCACTTCATCCCCATTAGGATGGCTGTTATTAAGAAAAAAGGGCAAACAGAAAACAATAAGTGTGGGCAAGGATGTGGGGAATTAGAACATTTGTACCTTGCTGGTGGGAATGTAAAATGGTGCAGTTGCTGTGGGAAACAGTATGGCGGTTCCTCAAAGAGTAAGCATAGAATTACCATGTGATTCAGCAATTCCACTTCAGGGACTATACCTAAAAGAATTAAAAGGAGGGATTGAACAGACATTTGTACACCCGTGTTTATTTCAGCATTATTCACAATAGCCAAAAAGTGGAAACAAACCAAATGTCCATTGATGAATGATGAAAAACAACATCTAGTATATACATACAATGGAATCTTATTCAGCTTTAGAGAGGAAGAAAATTCAGGTACGTGCAACAATATGAATGAACCTTGCGGGTGTTATGCTAAGTGAAATAAATCACACAGAAAAGGACAAATATTTGTATGATTCACTCATATGAGGTATCTAGGGTAGTCAAATTTGGAGACAGAAAGTAGAATGGTGGTTGCTTGGGGCTAGGGAAGAGGGGAATGAGGAATTCGTGTTTAATGGGTACAGTTTCAGTTTTGCAAGATGAAAAGAGTTCTGGAGATGGATAGTGGTGATGACTGCACAACGATGTGAGTGTGCTTAATGCCACTGAACCGTACACCTAAAAATGGTTAAGATGGTAGATATTATATTATGTATATATTTTGTAATAAAAAAATGTAAAACAAAAACATGGGCAAAAACATAGGGGTTAATAAAAACAAAGGAAGAAAAGATCAGTTACAGCCTCTGGTGAGGTTGGTACACAAAATCACAAGACCATTTGTCAGCCCTGGCTAGAAGCGGCACGGTAATTTGGCTCCGAAGCTTGGGAGCAGCCAGCATAAGAAGGAGTCAGCCAGTTACGTGTTCAGGGGGTTCATGAGACTACTGCAAATGTACTTGTGAGGGGCACACCCATCCCTTGTGTTGTGCGACACGTGCCAGCATCCTCAACAGCAGCCTTATAGTGAACACAGCACTGGGTGTTGGAGGCAGGCCTTGTTAAAACACCCTTACTGTAGACAGATGGCAGAATGCAGGCTCGGTCCAGGCAAGAGGTGCCGGGGGTGCTGGTTAAGGTACATGTACAGAAGGCTGCAGTCCCTGTATGCAGCTTTGCTGCTCTGCTCGTTCTCAGAGTAAAGTGTAGAGTGGTGTCACATGCATGGCAAACTCAGATGCCTTGGGGGAAAACTCGGATGCCAATACCTCAGGTGGACCAGTGGGGGACTGTGGCAAAGTGTAGCTGGAATCACAAGGGGGCATATTTATTTAGCTCCAGCTAATTTTTGCTTTCTGGGAATGCAGACTCAGTGTTGCTAGATCTCCTGACTTTTCAGGAGAAGCTAGAAATCCAGATTCTTATGGGAAATTGTTCAGAACTCTGGGCCAAGCAAAACTCACCTGTGGGCTGGATACAGTGTTTGCAACCTCTAGTCCGGACAATGGATGGACGACATGTCCTTCCAGGCATTCTCCAGATACTGTTCTCAGCCAAGTCTTGTCAAGAATGAAGTGGCAGTCAATGTGAGGATGTTCTCTTTGGCTGGAGTTGCAGAATCAAATGAGGCCATCTTTTGTCATTGAGGAGCTTGACTCTTCAGACACTAGTCTGAAGAGAAGGCCCCTTTGCCTCTTCATAGAGGGGCAGGCCAAGGATCCCAGAAACCAGGCCAAGAGTTTTCTTCAGAAGCTGTTTTGGATTTGGCCTAGAGCACACAATTGGGTGAGCAAGGCCCCTGAGGTCTGCGGCAGCATGGTAATTTTAGCATGGAAAGATGCTAAAGCGCCCACCTAAGTCGTAACAATGAGTTCTCAGTAAAGCGTTCATGGATAATTCAGTTTCCTGATGTGCCCTTTTAAACATATTAGGTGACTGAATGAGGTGACACTGTGTTGGGTTGTATTCTAAAAGCCAGCTAAACGTGGGGGCTGCCTTCACAAGTGATTGCTGTCACTCGGGGCAGCTCCTCTGTAGCCCCGTTTCTTTCCGTGTGACAGTATTTAGATATCGCAGCCAGTTGTGGATTTGAACCTCTCCTAGTTCCAAGTAGTTAAACCACTTCATTTGCACATATGAGAAAACTTTCCTTTCTATTCTCTGGGCAGGGGGCAAGGGGGGGGGGGCTGGTATACAGCAATTCCAAAAAGAGTACCAAGTTGGTAGGGTACAACTGGTAAGAGGGAGAGGTAGTGACAGGAGGAAGAAGAGACAGAGCACGTCAGGAGTTAGGGAGTAGTAAACTAACACGTGACTCTGAAGCCAGGCTGCCTGGGTTTGAATTACAGCTTCACTGCGCTTACAATGCTGTGTGACTCTAAGCAAGTCACTTAACTTTTCTGTGTCTCATCCATAAAATAGGGATAAATAGTAATTTACAGGCTATTGTGAGTATTAAATGAGTTAAGGCTGTGTCTGGTACATAAAAAAACCTTCACTGAGTGTTAGCTTTTATTATTGTCTATGTTTCACCTCATTAGGAATCATAATATCTTCCCTTAAAAGACTCTTCCTGGTCTAATTCCTGTCAACAGAATCGAAGGCAGAGGAACTGAGACCTAAAATCCTTGGTGAAATTTATACCAACACTTATAAAATGTTGCGAGTGCTTTGAATTTTAGAGACACCGCAGCAGTTGTGGTTTTAGATGAAGGGGATATCCCTGAGGGTCAGATTAAAAGAGGTTTTATTGCAGAGCCTTGAATTTCAAGAGCCTTTTAATTATGACAAACATACATCCCAGAGTTTCTGGGTCAGTCTTGATTTAAAATGGTTTCTCTGTCCACGTAACACACTCACATTTGTTAGATCGTGTGTTTGAGTTATTCAGCAAACATGGCCCCAGTATCTTAAATGTGGCCAATTAGGGGTCCAGAACCCCCAGCCCAAGTGGGAAGTAGATCTTAGGAGAGAAAGAACGTGTCCCTTCTTTTCGTCCTCCTGACAGATCCAAGGCTTTACCATCAAGGGGGGACAGTTTGCCAAGGCCCGAGACTGCGCCTCTGCCCTCTCCCCAGCCATTCTGATGGGCCTGGCGATGTCGCTGATCCTGCTGCTGGTGCTGGCCTACGCCCTGCACATGCTCGTCTACCTGCGGTATCTGGAGCGGCACTACGACGTCATCGCGTCTCCGGCCCACCTCCCCCGGCTGCGAGCCCGAGACGCAGCAGAAGAGAAGGAGCTGCTGCGGAGCCAGGCAGTCGAGCGCTGCGAACTGAGGAGCCAGCAGATCGGCAAAATTTACGTCTAACAGCGCGGGCCCCTCCCTCATAAAGTCCCTGGTGGGCTCGGAAAGGAGTTGTTTCTGTTCTGTGCTGTTTGACTTGTGGTATAAGGTTTTCACGGAATGGTTTGATTAAAAAAAAATTAAAGAAAGGAAAATACGTAATGAATCACTTTTGAAGCCTCTGCTGCCCTATTTAGATAGACTTGGGGCAATGAAAAACGTATCTCAGGAATCCCACCGAGGTAAATCTGATGGTTGCCCCAAAGCTACGTTGAACGCAGAGGGATGTTTCAAGTTAGGGGGACAAAAAAAAAGAACAACGCAATATAGAGAAGAGAAAACTCACTTGGTCCTCCTTGCCTGTACCAGTTTGGGTGTGATAAGTATAGAAATAATAAATCCAACGTTAACAGGAAGTTCAGGATTCAAAATATTTTGTACCATAGTTTACATTTTTTCAGAAATTATGCCCCAATTTGGTTTTAAAAATAGTCTTTTTTTTTCTCTTTCACAGAACTGTTTAGGGAAGACTCCTGTCAATATGCTGGCACCCTTTTATTAAGGGCTTTCTTATTATTTACTTTGCTATTGAGAGGCAGCCCAATTCAATATGTGAAGTTAGGGCAATAGTCTTGGTATCTTACCTTTGCCATCTGGTTGTGCTGCCAAAGTTTGTCTCATTTGTCTGATTTGGACCTCCATTAGCTCTCCTAGGTACCACTTGAAATAGACAACTGAGTTGGGTAAGAGCAGTGTGCTTGCTATGCAAACACAGCTTCAAGGCAGATCCTTGAATCCCCCTTCCAACGAGACAGTGTCCCCCAAACTCTTCTGTGATAGGAAGTCTGGAGCCACTACTGATCTTTCCACCACTTTCTTCCATATGGATTTTCCCATAATCCTTTTCAGTTCTTGGCAGATTGGCTCACTGTGCATCCTCATCAAAGCTTCTCTACTGTCTTCTGTGTTAAAGAGATCTGAAGTGTAAAAAGTACATTGCATTTTCCTTACTATGGTTCCACATATGACCATGGTTCTACTAAAAAGATACCACTGCACAAAACTTAGAATGCAGATGGGAAAAATGTAGGGTAGGGGTTTATGCACAGAGAAATTGGATCTTTTGGGCAGCTGTGATGATGGCTCTACAATCTAGTCCCATTTGATGTCAAGTAGTGGATGACAGTGACTGTGGGATTTCTGATAGAACGGTCTCATGTTGGACATTTCTTCTGGTTGCATTATTCTTGGTTGTGACTTTAGGTTTGGTTCCAGCCCTCTCAGTATTCTGTAAGCTCCTAATACTCTATACTGAATTTCTTTCTGTTTTAACACCTGGAGTAGATTCTGTAGTCTGCAACTAAGAATCTTGATCTATGTACTTATTAGTACCAAAGATGGTTAAAGAGAACAGACCTTCAAGATAATGGGATCTAGGATTGATTCTCTGATTCTGTTTGGCTTAAAACCAGTGGGGACTCTGTTAGCATTAGAGAATGGAAACCTAATAGCCCACATCCTTCTGTAATGAAACAGTTAGAATTCCATTGTGGTTGCCGTGAGTGTCCATTGGTGGTATAAATGGGTTTTGTGATAGGCTATGGGTACATGAAGGGTAGGCATAATTTCTTGATCAAACTGGGACACTTGAAAGTGAAAGGGAGTGTCATTAGCAATTCTAAGGTACCAGACATAAACAGGATGCTGCCAGGCAAATTGGGATATATACTTACCCTAGGTGTGGGGTGACACCCTGTAGTGTAGGCTGGCTCTTTCTAACTGTGCTGGAGGGCTTACAGAAAGCAAATGATAACTCAAGGTTCTAAATTCACAGCTCAAGGCATGGTCAAAGATCTGGGGTGTTTCTAAGACTAATCTAAAAGGACCTCTTACCTCTTGTCAAAGGGCTGACAGTTGAAAATCAGACACAAGTCTGATCCTGCACACTGGTAAACTGCATTGCAGGTGGAATTCACATCCTTGCCAGGTCTCTTACATGAACGTGAGAACATTGATTACAAAATAGAGGAACTTTGAAATAGGAATGGTAACTTTTGGAGAATTTAGATGATTTTAAGAATATTGAACCCTCAAATTCTACTCAATTTTTCTTGCTAGAAGAAGCAACCCCTATGAAGTGAGGTTGTTCTTGCCTTTCTCGAAGTCCCTGTGACGACCTCACCAGAGAGAGTTACCTTGCCAGCAGGTGCCAATTTCTCTAAATGCCTCTAAGTAGTTAGGGTCACATTCTAGCATATCCTAGGAAACCAGTTGCAAAGGCAAATCTGGGAAAATAAAATTGCAAGGTTTTGATAATTTATACAATAAAAGACTTGGGGGAATATATGTGGGACTGGATTCTGGAGGTGCTAGCTCTGAGGGGGAGGTGTAGACTGGGCTGAATTTTTTGATATAGGTTCTTTTACCGGGTTTTGGATTAAATGTGCTGGTTTGAGCAGCTCGGAGTATTTCTACCAGTTTTTGCAGTTGGTTAATTAAAATCTGGAATCAACAGTGGCATACACTAAACGAGACAGAGAGATCAGAATTTCCTTGATGCAACATAGAGGAAGAACTTTAATAACTTAGAGAATTGGGAAGTAGGAATGGATTTATCACGTATGACCTGCTCTCCCTTCCCATAAATATTTTCCTCTATGAAGGAATGATGACACTCCTTTTGTCACAGCACTGAGAAATACGTTAGGAACATAGTATCAGCATTTTTGAAAAGTGCTCTAGTGGATTTCCTCTGCAGGCTATGGATGAAGGTGGGAGATGCTGTCTTTGAACTGGAATCCTTAGTCTCAATAGGGATGCCGGGACCCTGGAGGGGCAGAGGTCGAGGAGCAGCACAGCAGCCTTAAAGGGTTGAGGGGCTGGAGTGTTAATTAGATTACATTATGTTTGTTAATGATGAAGTCACCTATGACAAATGTGGCTGGGCAGTCCTCTGAAGTATTTGTTCGCCTGAATAATAATAATAATAATAATAATAATAATAATAAAATCTAGTTCTGGTATAAAAGGACCTTACTTGAGCCATTGTGGTGGATTCCCAGAGCTGACGCTGTTCATAACTCAGATCCCTTGAATGAAGATGAGACCTCTTTAAAAAGGGTCTTTGGTCTTCATATGTAATGTTGAGCATTATCATGAACAATTTTATACTTGTCCATCCACTATCTGTTTTTTTGCATTACTTCTGGTATGTTCTGATCTTCAGGTAAAGAATTTACACTATTCCCCTGGATACCTTCATTATTAACCCAACAGATATGTGATTATTGCCCTGTAATTGTTAGCGCTGCAGGAGCATATCCTATGAGATGTCTGTCTTCCTGGGAGATCTGGAACAATATGGCAAAGAAAGTCATATTTGACATGAGTAGGAGTTGACCAGGTAGGTGATGTGGAGAAGGACAAACATAGCAGAAGAAAACATATATGGAGACTGGACTTTATCATCTGTGTGGAGAACTCTGAATACACATATATGTGCGAGTGCATAGACTGTGTTTTGAGTAGTGAAGAGAGACGAAGCTGGAATGAAGGGAGAGAACAGATCATTGCTAAAGACTTAGAATCTTCATTTTGTTAATGTGGTGTATCATATTCATTTATTTGTGGATGTTGAACCATCCCTGGAATAAATCCCACTTGATCGTGGTGTACAATCCTTTTAATGTATTGCTGTATTCGGTTTGCCAATATTTTGTTGAGGATTTTTGCATCTAAGTTCATCAGTAATATTGGCCTGTAGTTCTCCTTCTTTGTGTTGTCCTTGTGTAGTTTTGGTATCAGGGTAATGTTAGCTTCATGGAATGTGCTAGGAAGTGTTCCATCTTCTTCAATTTTTCAGAATAGTTTGAGAAGGATAGGTACTAAATCTTCTTTGAATGTTCGGTAGAATTCTCCAGAGAAGCCATCTAGTAACCATAGCCAAGATGTGGAAGCAACCCAAGCATCCTTCTACGGATGAATAGATAAAGAAGATGTGGTATATATACAATGGAATACCGCTCAGCCATAAAAAAAGACAAAATTCTCCCACTTGAAACAACATGGATGGACCTTGAGGGTATGATGTTAAGCAAAATAAGCCAGAGAAAGAAAGACAGATACTACATAGTTTCACTCATATGTAGAAGATAACAAATACATGGATAAAGAGAACAGATTAGTGGTTACCAGAGGGGAAGGGAGTTGGAGGTGAGTGAAAGGGACAAAGGGGCACATATGTATGGTGATGAATAAAAATTAGACTACTGGGGGTGAGCATGATGAAATGTATTTAGGAATTGATAAACAATAATGTACACCTGAAATTACACAATGTTATAAGTCATTATAATCCCAATTAAAAAAAAACTTAGAATCTTGACTGGAGAAGCCCTTGAGAGGATTTTGAGGAAGATGTTTACATGGTGTGTGAGTGTAGTAGAATAGAGACAGAAATGCCAATTAGGAGATGATTGCAATAATTCAGCCAAAAAATAATAGGACCTGTGCTAAGGCACTGGGGTGGGAGGAAGGAGATAGAAGAGGTACGTAAGGAGGTTGGTTCAATAATACTTGGCAACCAATTTGCAAATCACAAATGACTGGGAGCTATCTTATTTCAGGTGCTGGTGGATGGAGATGCCAGTCCCTGTAATCAGAAATTGATGAGGGTAGGAGTGGGAGTACAGGATTCCTGTAGGCATGTCCTGTGATACAGGTCCAAGTAGGCAGTTGGCTGTATGCATCTTGTGCAAAAGATAGAGAGATCTGGTCTAGAAATAGAAATTTGGAAATGTAGCCGATGCTGTCAGTGTCCCACACATATTCTTTTGCACCTTACCTTTTTGTGCATCTAGCCCATCTTTCCATTGCCAGTCACTGCCCTCTGAGGCTGCTGTACCTGTGTACATGGCAGGCTGGAAGTACTGAGGAATTAATGTCCCCTGAGAGTAGCCCTCATTCAGTGACTCTCAGGATTTGGGTATAAATACCCCAGGTCACTTATCCCTTGAGTGGAATACTTCTAGAGTGTGTTTTACACCATTTCCTGGAGCTCCCCAGCAAGACTAAGCTTTTGCCCATTGTGGTATCTTGCTTGATAATGTTCATTTTATTGACTCCTTCTCTGCCCTGCCTTATTTCCCTGCTCCTCTGATGATGTTT